ATTATATTTTATCCTCTCATAATATTTTGACTATGTAATGGGCATTTTGTTTACTCACTTGTTTCGTCGAACTGCTTGAATCCATTTTTGCTGTTGATCAAATCGGTGTGAGAAACTATGAAGCTATAAATTGTTGTTTGGGGAAGAGTTGAATATCTGGGAAAGTTGAGTTTGTCATTGCACCCAATAACCACGTAATTACGCCCTCCTTTACGTGTCAACATTTTTTCGGCCATTTTATTCACATTCGAAATTGTCACAACACAACGAGACGCCCAGATTACGATTCTGATTCTTTCTCATTTAAGTTTTACTACCCGAAACAGCGTTACATCACACAAACCTCTTACCTGAGTGTTTTATAGTTTCAATAACTTCACAAGTAAAAACTAAAATATTTAAATATATGACAAAACCACGATTTTCATATTATTTCAATGCGGTCAACATAAACAGAATCGCGACTGCGTGATATACTTTAATGGGGCACTTTAATTTCTACCGCATCGAGCGCTGCTGTCGGAATTTTTAAAATCAACTGAAACGCACCAAGCTACCATTTTTTACCTAATTACCTACCATTTTTCCTAACAAGCAAAAAGAAATAAATAAAATATTTCTTGAAATTTCCTACACTAGCACCCCAAGCTAAATGGACAAAATAAAACAAACGATTTTATTCGCAACAATGTATTATAAGCGATGCAATTCTGGATATTCCTGTACACTTAATTTTCTTAATCTATAAAAAAAAATTACTATGTTCTTCATATACAGGGTGTGAAAAAAATATGCGCCAAACTTCATTGGATGATTCTATAGATAGAAATAAATCAAAAAGTTCCTATGAACAGATATCCTAATGTTGTAAATTGCTGAGATGTCTTCCGAGGAAGTTTTGGACCTTCAAAGGTATTTTTTTTAAATAGCCTAATGACATATATTTACCCAGAAATCTATATAAACATACTCCCAAGCTGCAGCAAAAGTCGCCTGTTCCTATATAAAATTCAATACAAATTACGTTACTGTAGAAAAAATCCGTCTTATCCACTTAAATCTGCTTTTTATTGTCATTATTGTTGCAAATCCCGCATTTTTTCATAAGCTTTTTAAACAAATTTAATTTTTCTAACTACTGATGTCTTATCCATTTCAAATCCTTACCTAATTTTAATAAAATAGCATATCTAATAGATCAAGTTAGGATGCAAATATCTTGCTATAGCAAAACACACAATATGCATCATATTGTAACAAAACCCGCCTTATCCGAATTATTTTTGTGTATTTTCTCTTTAAAAATTAAATATGAATTTATATTTCTAGAAAAACGAGATACAAAACAATGATTCCACTCAATGGACACGTTTTTTTTTGTAAAATAATACTTCAAACAATTCCTAAAACAGTTTTTGCGTATTATCTTGAAACAACGTTTAGGGATAAAGCCAGATTTTCATGGGTCCGTTGTCCGACGATACGATATTAATTTTATTGGCTGAATTTAAAGGCTTCGATTTGTTAACTAATTTTTATTTCTAACCAATCGAAGTTTTCAAATTCAACCAATAAAATTAATATCGTATCATCGTAATAACGGATGCATGAAAATCAAGCTTAAGATGGGTTTTGCAAATTAATGCAAATTTTAAAGCATTAGGCAAAAGTTAAAAATCTTGATTCGGAGCCTCGCAATTAGTGGTTTCAATTACACTTTATACTTAAAGTTTACGATCATTCACAATATCTAAAGACACAAAATTAAAGTTAATAGAATATCCTAGCAATAACTTGCATTAGAGAAAGAAAAGTCCATAGAAAAAGCCTAATCATATCACATAAGGGAATTAAAGGAAAAATCAATTTTTGATTTCTAACCACGATTTCTCTTGACGGAAGGTAAAGGCCAAAATGACATTTCTCGCAAATTTTGAAGTATAATTAGTGGAAAAGTTTGTCAACTTTTTCGACTAAAGCTTCAATCAGAACCTCCCAATTAGTGGTTTCAATTACACTTTATACTTTTTAGTTTACGATCATTCACAATGTCTAAAAAACACAATTAAAATTAATAAAATATCCTAGCAACAGCTTGCGGTAGTCTGCATAGACTAATGTCACGTACTAGAGATAGATTGGACACTGATATAAAACAAATGGGTCCGTCATTTAGAGCCACCTGGTGATCCGGAAGAAACTAATGGAGAGTTTTGGCATAACATAATTTTAGCGTTCCGTTACTTATTAACGCTAATTAAAACGGTAACGTTATTCAAGCGCAAAATTATTCCTTGTAAAATAAAATATAAATATAGACTTTTTTACTCCATTTTATGTTTTATTAGATCATTAGAAGTGTAACATAATTACAACAAAATTAAAATTATAAATACATACATTTTAAACACCAACAATAGATCACATATCGCCTATTTTTTTTTGATTTAACAACTAAATTATAATATAGTAAAAATATTATAGACTACTAATCAACTGTTACTAAAAATACTATATATTACCAACTATGTACTTACTTATTTATGATTAAACTATTTTTTTATTTGGTTTATAAATTATTATTTCTAAAATGTCAAAATGACTTTAATAAAAAAGTTTAGTATCTAACACGAAAATGATGATCGACTGTAAGTATCAGAATGCACAAACTAATAAAAACACAAACTATAAACACAAATCACTGAACTTTCCGACAAATCAGGAATATCTGGGAATATCTGAATTAATAATTATTTAAATAATGATTTAAAAATAACTTGACGGATCACCAACATTTTGTCAACTAGACAAAAACTAGACCATAGACAGTAGTTAACATAGAGACTGTCATGTCATCTTCATAATATAAATTAGAAACCTGTACTTTAATGTCTTTTGCGCCGTCTGGCGATGCGGAAGAAACTAAATTTCTAGTTCTATAAAATTACCATTGAGTGTCTAGGGCATGGTAGTCTGTTACGCACAATACTCGAATTCGGGTAATGCCCGAAAAAAATGCACAGAACTAGCTTTGAGCAAAAAATATTTCCCAAACCCGAAATTGTCCATTTAAACGAGTATTGCGCATTACAATATAGTCAAAAACTAGTACTATGCATTTTGAATTGCGCAAAACTAGTTTGGTGCATTTCAAAATATCCAATACTAGTTTTGCTTGTCCTATTTGATCAATAACGCCCTAACACAAAGGATGGATTGTTTATGAATGTGTTTGATTCAAATATAATTAAACTGACAATAAAATATGTACTTAAAAAAATAAAACTTTATTCATAAATATTTTATAAATGGATAAATACGTAATAATATAGGTACCTATATGAATATGTATACAGTAGCATATTATATTATGTATTTGCAGGGCCGATCCTAGTAGGTGTGCAGCGCGTGCACCGCACGCGGGCGGCCAAAACAAAGAGCGGCCGCAGACCCGTAGACAGATTTGAACAGAACAGGAACTTGAATGGTGGTACTTAGAGTTGCAAATAACATTATTTTTTCTACAAGACCATACGCTCCGGCAAATGTATTAGTCTAATGTACTTAGTACTTACCATTCAACTTATAAAATATAAAAATTAAAATAACGGAATCCTAAGAATGGTTAGATACCTAATAGATAAAATATAAACAAAAAAAAAACAAACATTTATGTTGTTGATGGCCTGTAGCTATATGTGCCTGGTGAATTATAGAAAACATTTCCTCAGTCGCCACAAAATACAGTATGACATCGGAATCTTCTTGGCGCTTGGGTTTGGGAAATATTTTTTGCTCAAAACTAGTTCTGCGTATTTTTTTCGGGCAGTACCCGAATTCGAGTATTGTGCATAATATGTCCATAGAGAAATCCTAATATTTAGCTTATAAAACAATAAACTTTTGATTTCTAACCAAATTTCTCTTGACGAGTGATAATCAAAGGCCAAAATGACATTCTTCGCAAATTTTCAAGTATAATTAGTGGAAAAGTCAAGTTTGTTAACTTTTTCCAATAATTGAAAATTACTACCACTAATTATGACGTTCTGAATGCTTACATTAAAATTAGATGAACAAACTTCTACGGCTAATTGAAACTACTAATTTATACCACTGATTTCGAGGTTTTGAATGAAGCTTAAATTGAAAATATCTACCACTAATTCCGACGTTCTAAATGCTTGCATTGAAATTAAAGAAACAAACTTCTACGCCAATTGAAACCACTGATTTATTCCACTAATTGCAAGGTTCTAAGTGAAGCTAGAGTCTGTTAACCTTCTACTAATTGAAAGTTACTGCCACTAATTTTGGAAAAGTTAAAACTTTTTCTACCAATTGAAAATATCTACCACTAACTCTGACGTTCTGAATACTTACATTGAAATTAAAGGAACAAACTTCTACGCTAATTGAAACCACTAATTTAGTCCACTAATTGCGAGGTTCTGAATGAAGCTAAAGTCTGTTAATATTTTTCTACTATTGGAAAATTACTACCAATTTTATTGTTCTGAATGCTTAACATTAAAATTAAAGGAACAAACTTCTACGCTAACTGAAACCACTAATTTGTTCCACTAATTTTGAGGTTTTGAATGAAGCTTAAATAAAAAAAAATACAACGTATATATTAAGTTAGAGCCGTAAAAACTTTCGAGGGCTGTAACTTCCCCAAAAAGCATATTTTAGAGCATGTTCATAGAAACATTTTTTTCTTTTTATCTGAGGTATCAACCACTGAACTTTGGCGCAATATTTTTTTACACATGTATAAATAGAACCAGCTTTTTTGAAACACACACTTAGTTTTGTTTGACAGTGATATACTATGTAATTTACCTATTTAAACTACAGTGTTCTACTTAAAAAAAAAATATAAAAAATAACTTATGAAACACGTTTTTTAAAAGAAAGTTTTCTGAATATATTTACAAAAATCTAAATTGTTTATTAAAATCAGCCTCAAGTATACACTAAAATACAAAATAAAACAATTTATTTTAATTGTTACACCGTTTATATTTTATACATAAAGAAAATTTACAATCTTGCTAGTGTTGAAAACACTAAAAACAAAAAAGAACAATCAAAATCATCTCGCGCAACATGATAAAAGCAACGTGTTCTTAAAGCTAACTTCTTACTATCTAAAAACATCTATGTACCCTAAAACCTCTGATTACTATTATAACTATTGCCCCTCCGGTTATGATCACTATTAAACGGCGTCTGCGTATTCTGATTCATATTGGACATAAAAAACGAACTCAACAGTGGTGGAGGTGGTGGCGGAGGGTACCGCGAATCCCCTGAGTTATTTTGAAACGACTGAGCAGGCGCGGTAGGGTTAGTGAAAGGTAAAAACGACCGACTTTCATGTAGGCTCGGTCTGTTTCCCTGATGCAGACCGAAAACGTCTAAATTCTTGTTACGAGCGTTATCGCCGGTCATCAGTTGCTTCCCGAGCAACTGAGCGGGTGTCAGAGACGCCAGAGATTGAGTTTTGGGGATCATCGAGTAGAAATCGGACTCGTACACTTGAGTACCCACCGAAAACGTTATGACGGGATTCCCCGTTTGAACCCCGCAATTCGCGTACAGTATACCCTTCCTGTGAAAACACTCCCTACAAATTGATAGTTCCCGATCGGTTTGAGTACTAAACGACTTGGTAATGACCGGTATTTTCGGAGGGGCAGGCTTATTGTAAGACTCTAACTTATGCTTAAACTGAACGAATTCTTTCTTGGGGACTTCGGTGATCTTGGGGGCCGCGGGAGCCTTTCTGTCGGACTGGACGACGATCAGGTTGGACGTGGTGTTTTTGGCTCCGAGCCGCTCCAGCAGCGACTTGCACCGGTGCTTGACCTCGAATTCGGGTTTCCTCTTCGGTCCAGCGGTGGTGAAGGGGAACAGGACCACGGGTCTCCTCAGCAACGGCGACACGCGCTGATCGTCGATGGGCGGCTTGTACGTGTCCGTTTTCGTGATCAAGAGAGGTCCGGAAAATCGTTTCTCGCTGAGGATCTTGACGGCTTCCTGGCAGCGCTGGATGGCTGCAATCCATCGTCGAAACGTTTATTTCAAACACTCAGTAACGTAGGAACAGTATTTTTGGTAACGAGAGAGATAGAAAGGGAAAAAAGAACTTACCCCTAATTTTCTCCTGCAACTTTTCTGACGTTGAACTACTCACTGGGACAGAAAAAAAATCTTTTTAGTCGTGATAAAAATTGGAAAATACTACATAGAGACAGAGTATAAAGGAACACCTAAAATATGTAAACTTAGTACGTTAAGTTTTGATATTCTTAGATAACAAAAAACTTTAAAACAATTGAGCATACTGTATGATCGGAAAAACAGCGTCGTTTTTGACCTTTGAAATGTTAATCCGGTGTTTAACCATAGTAAATTTTTGTTATTTTTAATATAACATTCATTTGAAGTGATTAAAAAGTACTCCCTCAAAACAAAAAGAAATGCAACGAAGTTACAATTAAGGAATAAATAATATAAATTCAATACAAATTTCACTGGTTTGAAATAACGCAAGAAAATTGTGATGCCACCTATCAGCATTTGACTGAATAGTTGACACAGGGCGCGAGCCTCTGAAGAATAATATTATGGCGTGTCTAGTTCTCTGCTACCGTATTTACACCATATATCTTAAAATCACGTTAGATTTTTCTATTTTTAGATCGTTAAAAAATACGTTTTTATGCGGGATTATTCTTTATTACACTAATATTAAATTAATTTACTTTTATATTTTTGACTACTAGAAATCAAAACTTAAACTTTTATAATTAACAGGTTACTATTTTTCGAGGCGTTCGAGGGTTTGATTTGTATTTTGTGGATTTTGCGTCTGGCGTTAAATACTTTGAGTTTTCAATTTTGTTTTATTGTACCCTCCTTTGTTATTATTTTTCTAATGAAGAGTGTTAAAGTTTGTTTTGTGAAGGGCTGTCTAAATAACTCTGAAGGCGCTCCAGGAAAAGTTATTATAACTGTTCCTTTGGATGAAAGCCGTCGAAGAGCCTGGTTTGAAGAGGCAAGACAACAATATGTCAGCAAAAGTACGAGATTTTGCTGTGAAGATCACTTTAACGTAAGTTCCTTAAGTTTTATTTAACAATTAATTTTATATCTACTTTAAAATACATTTAGAAAAATGGTTTTTATTTACCTTTGTACCTGCTGGCACACACTTTTGATAGGTGACGTCAGAGATTGCAAAAGTGTAAATTTGAAATTCTTAATATTGATTAATTTAAAAAAAAATGGGATGAAATTGGAAGTAAAATAAATATGGGTGTCATAAAATTGTATGAAGATTAATTATTTGCAATAAAAAAAATATGGTTAAACTCCGGATTGACAATGACTTCCGTCCGAAGCTTCCATTGATGCAGGTGATGCGTCGCATCCCTTCGAAATATTGTAATACGTTTTTATTTAAAAAAGTCACTGAGATCTCCTATAATAAATTAAAATTTTCAGTAAATTTATTCAAATAATTAAATTCAAGTTCAATTATTTTTAATGTGTGTATTTGTCGACCTTTATAGATAACACTAAGACCTACGCTAAACGCTAAAAATAACTGGACAACTCGATAATGCGACTGTCTTCGTTACAATATTGAACGCCGCCGAACGCGAGCCGGTATCAATGAACTTTCCGGCCGCGACTACGGCTCCGGTTCGCTGTTTTAGTCGGTATGTGATGTGATTTTTTAAATACATCTCATTTGTTGTATAAAATAAAATATACGGTCGCGCGTCGCGATGGCCGTTTCTGAGTGCGGCTGTAAAATAGAAATAATTTTGCAATCATCCTTCAGTTCTATGGTGTATTCAGAGTATTCAGAAAAATTAAAAACTATTGAAGAAAGACCTCAAAAGCATATTTTGAATATTAATACTAAATTAAAATGGTGTATTGATCATTTTAGTGAAAATGTTTATAAAAGTGAACACTGATGGCTATGTGGTTGTAAGTCACTCAATAAACTTTTTTGTTGCCCTTGTCTACTACTATTTTATCTAACAGATACTTTTAATAGCTTTGTTTTTTACTTAAATTAATTATTTGTTATAAATTGGTTTGATTATTTTTTTTACCTGTTACATTTTTTGTATATTTGATTTTTGTAACTTCAAAATTAAAGACTTTAATAAAAAAAAAGAAAAATCTTTATTGTGTTGGTAAAATGTTACTTGCAGTTACTTATTACATCCCCTTGTATTGACGCCACACTCCGCCACTGCTATCACTCCATACTAGACATTATAAAACAGAAATTCAATGAAAAATATTGGGACGATAATAGCCTATTCAAAGACAGTGAAACATATAGAAAATACTTGAATCTAAATGTAAACGAAAACATCGAGAATCATTCAGCCCTCTATACCACAAGATTGACAAATTTAAGCTAGAATTGATATAAAATTTATCAAAATTATTATTCGGATAATAAAAAGAATATGAATAATACCTGGATGATTTTTTTCTATTTAAATAATGATTTTTTAGAAGTTCTTATGTACATTTTTAACAAGGAGTCGGTTCGCCAAATAATATTGTCATTTCAAAAGCTACTACTTACTGTGGCGCCTTTTTTTCGATCATACAGTATACTCTAAGTAAATTAAACTCATCAACGTTCTGGAATCCGATTTGTATTGCATATCCATTGTGGAACTCTACTGAATTTGCTAAAAAAACAGATGCCAGTATCAAGATTTTTTTTTATTGAAATACCAGTGGCGTGCAGTACAAACCAAAGCAGAGGAGGCAAAAATTGACAAAATGATAAAATAAAATATAAAACGTCACAAAAGTATTAATTTTTGCGATGTGATTGACAATATAAAAAAGTAATTTTAACGCCTAGGCATAAAAGTACGAAAATATATTATTAAACTGACATTAAAGTGTCAAATTCGACGAGCCGTAACCATATTTTCTCGATATATAATAGGGTTCCCAACTTGAGCATCGGCGATTCCGGGACAATTATTTTTAAGTTTTTAAATAATTGAAACAAAACGTTAAATATTAGAAATTCAAATATATTATATGTAAATGTGATTTTTTTGGTCCCGGCCAAGGCAAAATTTTCGCCGGGACAAACTTTCTGATTCCTGGTTAATCCCGGTCAAACCGGGACGGTTGGGAACCCTAATATATAATTACATACAAGGTATGACGTTTAAATATGTTTTTATTATTTGGAACGTTTGAAATTTTTTAAAAACTTATTTGTGGCTTTTGAATAAAAATAGCATGTTCTATTCAGAGTAAAAATGACTTTTTGTGCCTCGACTGTATGTCGTACAGCCTCGTCGCAAAAAATGTCATTTTTACTCCTAATAAAACAATATACTGTTTATATAAATTGGGAAAACATTTTCAAATTTGGCATCACTACACCAGTCGACGCGCGACACTGACAAAACACTTCCTTATACTATCTCTTTCTTACACATTGGCCTTCCAGTCATTGCGCGCTGTACAGTATGTGGAAGAACTGCAAAAGCGCAACCTTTACCATCCCATTAGAGACAATATAAAGTAAATCATATGGTGCGCCTTTATGGTAAATTTTATATGGGAATTGCGCGATAACGCTTATATTTTCTATCTATAGATATATCAACAAATATATTGCAAATATTTGTTGGATTAGTAATAAATTATAAATGCAGTGATATAAAAAAATTATAATGCCTAGGACATCAGGCAACGCCATTTTGCCTACATTATATGCACGCCACTGAGAAATACATGCTATTTACCTGTCACGAATTAGAAATAAATCAACATAAAATAAATATAATAAGAAACTAAAAGAAAAAAAAACGTTTCACACCTTGTGGCTTGGCCGTGATCGCCAAATAATCGCTAAGCCTAATCTTCTGGTCTTCGAATAACTAAAAAAACCAGAAAAAGTTTTTAGATTCTCACAAAAAAACTACGACAATAAAACAATATTACTTTTGCGATAGAGGGCATCTTGTTCTTGGCAGGTACCCCATTGGAATGCTGTTGAGATGGCCCAGGCTGTTTGGATGGGGGAGTTCCGATGAAAAAACTCTGGTCGTACGGATCGTAGGGCTGCTGCTGCTGAGGCGGCGGTTGCGCAGGAGCTCTTGGAACCACAGGAGGAAAATAGGGTACTTGAGGTACGGGTGCCGGAACTGGCGCTGGAACTACCACTGGTTGGGGAGGTACAGTTACGCTGTACATGACAGGAGCAGGCGGGATAACAGGCGCACTAGGAGCTCGTGTTTCATTAAGTTTAACGGCTAACTCCTCTAAAAACGACATTTTCTCCTTATTCCTCAATGGTTTACGAGGCGACCTCGACCTGGACCTGTATCTCCTCGGTCTAGGACTCGAACTCCGGTTCCTCGACCTGCGATACAAGGGCGACGTCCCGCGATCTCTGGAACGACGCCTGACAAGAATCGGACTTCGACTTCTGGATTTTCTTGGATACATCGGTGGACTGCGCCTCAAGTTATACTTGGGACTCCTCCTGATCGGGCTTCTCCTGGGAGATTTCGACCTATAGGGACTCCTTCTATAGACTAGATTCCTTGTGTCCGCTCTTCTACGTCTTAGAGGGGACTTGGATGAGCGTTTCCTCGGAGGTGACGGTGATTGTTTTCTTGGAGATCTATTTTTCGACCGGCTTTTTCTTTTTGGAGATATCCTATTTTTTGATTGGCTTTTTCTTTTCGGAGATAACTTATTTTTCGATTGGCTTTTTCTTTTTGGCGATACCTTATTTTTCGAGCGACTTCTCCTTTTTTTAGGCGGGCTGTCGTGTGTTTTTTGAGGCGAACGAGTTCTCGACTTTTTCGGTTTTAATTTTTCGCGCAGGTCACGAATCGGTCTGTAATTTTGTTGCACGTCTTCCAGGTCTACTTCCAGTTCCATTCCCGGAGGCACTAAACCAGTTTGAACTATGTCAGTTATACGTCGTTTTTCCTTGTCCTTGGCCGTCTTAATTTTGTCCTTTTGAATTGCTTGTCGCGTTTTTTCCGGATCCCTTCGAATATCAAATGTGTCTGCATCGATGGTGATTTTTTGCTTCTTCGGTTTGTTTGTGGTTTTCGCTTTGTCAATTTCCGCATCGAGTTGTTTCAGTTCTTCATCCGCGGTCAATACGATCCCTTCTTGGTTCGCTGATTTGGCAGGTTTCTTAATCTTTTTCCTCACCCTCTCGATTTTCTTCTTGGTTTTTTTAATTGGAATCTCCTTTTCCACCTGTTTTTCTATAGTAAATTTGTCCCTTTCTTCCTGCGCTTCTCCTTCCTCATCTTCGTCGACGATATCTAGTCCAGCCATGAAGTCTTCCTTTTCAAAATCATCGAAAAAATCATCAGGCACGTCTTCGTGTTTATCCTCCTTTGCATTTTCCTGGACACCTGAATTTTCTGGATCGACTTTTAAATTATTACCTGTATTAGATTCGTCTTTTTCCTTGGAATCGTCCGAGCCAGTCATGTTTCTCGAACAACAACTTGCTTTTTACAAATTATCACTAAACTTATCTGTTTAATATGCGGCTTTCTTAATAAGAACAGCAAAATAATTATAAAATACAAAAAGGGCAAAATGGTAAAATCCAAATTGACAAGTGACATATGGATCAGGGTTGTCCAAAAATATATTTCAAAAATGTACTATTACATTTTAAGCAGTCAGATTTCAAAATACCAAAATATGTTCTTAGTTCTTAGGAACTGTGTAAAAATATAAAAATCTTTAAAATACAATATATATGCATCTACCACAGAATAAATGACGATCATTTGAATTTGACGTGAATTTGATGTTTGTTTGGCATCACTTTGGCATTTGACAGCCTTAACGCAGCAAAATCAAGTTTTGATCACGTTTGATACGTTTTTGTTTTCATATTCGTTCGCACAGCGCACAGCTGACGAGCGATATTGTACGTGTCTTTAAAAATGCACCAGAACAAATTCGTCTTTATATTTCTAATATACGCGCTGTATTTCGTGGTCAATACGAACGGCGACATCGAAAAACACATAAAAACTATACACGGCAATCGAGATCCGCCGGTCAATAGAATTTACGAGTTCATAGCGGAGGAATCTGACGATATATCCACGAATAATGGGGCCGAAAGATATAAACGAGCATCTCCTTCAGTACCTGATTCTGTAGTGGACCCATCTACTAAGGTAAGTTGGTAAATTTAGATTTTATTAGTCGAGTAAATACGCGTAGGGGAAATTATAAATTCAAAACGTAAAATACCTAGCCGTAGAATGACGTTTAAATTATTTATTGTTTTTATTATCAGTACAATCGGTTCAAGTGATATTATATTCTATTTACTTGTATATATCTTGCGTGAAATTTAACAAGAAACAAATTAAGTTATTGTGATTCATAATTTGCATTCTCCAATTGCGGTTTTTTTCTTATTTAAACAAATAATGCAAAGGTCAGTTTACAGAGATGTGATTAGTAATTGTACAAATCGTATCACAAGTCTTAACACATCCCGCATCACATATTAGGGGGCCACGCAATAGTAATGCACTTTATTACTATGAAATTAAATCAATTATATTTGATAAGCAGGCTTCCGGTGTTTCGTTTAATGCAAGATGAAATATACGTTTATATTTCACGTTGTTGGAGTCAGACATATCGATTTTGTCATATTTATCTTTGTTTATCTTTCGTATTTAATCTAGATACCATAAACAGATGCTTTCATCCTTTACTAGGTATTTAAAAATTAGCTAAAAATAGATTTTTTTTCTTTGTTTAAAAAAAAATATAGGTATTTTTAACAGGAATGATTAGATATTTTTAGTTGCATTCTAGTTGTTTCACTAATTATCATTCCTAATTGGCATTTGGTATACAGGGGGATCCATTGTTTCGAATAAGCTCTGTATTGGGTTTCCAATTTATAGTAATCTTATGGTAAATCTTTCGAAAATCTTTTTTATTATTAACTCTAAAGTACGACACTTTTATGCCTAAGCACAAAAGTACGAAAATTATATTATTAAACTGACAAAAAGTGTCAAATTCAACGAGCGTAAACATAGGTAGTTTCTCGATATATAATTTACAAGGTATTACATTTAAATCTTTTTATTTGGAACGTTTGACATTGTTTAAAAATTACTTGTGAACGTTTGAAAAAAATAGCATGTTCTGTTTGGAGTAGAAATGACTTTTTGTGCCTCGCCTGTAATGTCAAAAATTCTAGATCTATAATCTAGGCAATCTAGAATTATTGTTAATATCGATTAATGTCATATACCCTATGATCGAATAAAAACGGCGTCAGCGATGGCTATGAAATGAGGATCGATGACATTTCCCATATAATTTTACATATAAAATGACAGCGATCTTCATTTCGGAGCCATCGCTGACGCCGTTTTTATTCGATCAAACCGTATTTATTTTGCTGTTTTAAAATGTTAAAGAAGCACAAAATTTATAGTTAGCTTTTCCCTAGCATTGAACTAAATAAATTTTGTGCTTCCTTAACATATTAAAACAGCAACAAGGATGACGTTAAATAAAATTAATAATAAACATCTATACTTGACAAAATTTATTAGGAGCGATAATATCTGAAATATTTATGAGGTTTATTATTCTGGTTTAATCTTATATGGGAGGTATTTCAGAACACTGACTCACCCTGTATGTTTGCACTTATCAAAAAATGTACTTACTAAGCTAGTAAAATGTTTTGCGATAAAAATTTTTAAAAACCTATTGTTATAAAAATAGCTATTTGTTATGTTACGAGTTCTTTGTTGAAAAAAATATGTTTTAAACAGAAATAATTAAATATTATTAGGCTTTGCAGTCTAGTTATTTCACCAATTATAGCAAATTGGTATGTTACGGCATGCAAAAGTACACTTTTAATTAAATTTATTTATAAATATCATTTTTCAAATAATAATTTTGAAATAAAATCGATAGAAAATTTAAAACCTTTGAGGAAAATGATTGCTGTAATTTTATACTAGATAAATTTCTTTATGAATTTGAAAAATGTTAGATCTTTTATTCATTGGGATATTCCAGGATATTTATTTTATTTACCTAGCATTCTAAAAGATTTATTCTATATTTAGAAAGAAAAACAGCTTATTGTGGTTTGTTATAATAGGTGGAAATCTCCCAGAATTGCTCGATGAAATTATTAGGGATGTGATTTTTTCAATATATCGATAACTGTCGATATTTATCATCGATAGGATATAGAATAACAATAGGTGAGGATCAAAGGGTAGAAATAGACGGATTAATATGGAAAATGCCCCCGCGGCTTTTTTAACTCGCACTCAAAGGATCGATTTGGTGTCGAATCGAAATAATTCACCTAAATTTTTAGCTCGGTTTTTGAGATTTTCAAAAAAAAATGTTTTTTCAATTTTATTTTTATTTTTATAGTAAAATTCAAAATTAATTAATGATGTTTTTTTTCTAATTCTTAGAAGTCTGAGACATGAAAAAATAATATGATCATGATTCTTAAGCTTGATTTTCGTGCATCCGTTGTCCGACGATACGTTGATACGATATTAATTTTATTGGTAGAATTTAAAGACTTTGATTGGTTAGAAAATAACGCAGTTTTTAAATTTATTGCATTTTCATGCCTCCGTTTATCGGATATACGTTGGTGTTATTTTATATTTTCGTTTCCATAACGATTTTGCTATTTTACTTATATTTTTATTAAGGTTAGATTAAATTTGTCAAAAAAGCTCTGAAAAAAGTGTCAAAACGTCCGTTATCGTATGAACGGGTCCGTTGACGGGCTGAAGTAAAATATTTACGGATGAAAAGTGGCGCGAAAACGCTATGACCAATCAGAGCACCGTCGGACCAACGTACCAACGTAACGGATGCATGAAAATCAAGCTTTAAAGCCGGAGTCTCATGCATCCGAAATCCGATGACACGACGATCCGACGGTGCTCCTATTGGTCGAAATATTTTGACAACAATTTTTATCCGATAATTTTAACTAATCATCCGACGTCGTATAAAGTTAAATTTTGTTTAACTTTTGTACGATATCGTGTGTTTTTTAACCTCACTTTTTTAAAACATTTGTTTTTAAAAACAAGTTTAGTGGGAAGTGGGCAATTTCGGGATATTTGGCGAAAGTTATTTTTATAAGTGTTTCTCCAATAAAACATGACATGAATCTCTATTCAGCGCAGCAGAAAAATGTTAAAACTGTCAAATTTCGGAACGAACTTTCGGATGTATGTGACAGGCTTTTTTTATTTCACACGATAACTTCAAATTTCGGATGTCGTACCATCGGATTTCGGATGCATGAGACTCCGGCTTAAAGCCGGAGTCTCATGCATCCGGAATCAGATGACACGACGATCCGACGGTGCTCCTATTGGTCGAAATATTTTGACAACAATTTTTATCCGATAATTTTAACTAATCATCCGACGTCGTATAAAGTTAAATTTTGTTTAACTTTTGTACGATATCGTGTGTTTTTTAACCTCACTTTTTTTGAAAACATTTGTTTTTAAGTTACTAAACAAGTTTAGTGGGAAGTGAGCAATTTCGGGATATTTGGCGAGGAAGTTATTTTTATAAGCGTTTCTCCAATAAAACATGACATGAATCTCTATTCAGCGCAGCAGAAAAATGTCAAAACTGTCAAATTTCGGAACGAACTTTCGGATGTATGTGACAGGCTTTTTTTATTTCACACGATAACTTCAAATTTCGGATGTCGTACCATCGGATTTCGGATGCATGAGACTCCGGCTTAAAGCCGGAGTCTCATGCATCCAACTCAATATTTGACTGATCCGACAGTGCTCCTATTGGTCGAAATATTTTGACAACAATTTTTATCGGATAATTTTAACTAATCATCCGACGTCGTATAAAGTTAAATTTTGTTTAACTTTTGTACGATATCGTGTGTTTTTTAACCTCACTTTTTTTGAAAACATTGGTTTTTAAAATCAAGTTTAGTGGGAAGTGGGCAATTTAAGCCGGAGTCTCATGCATCCGAAATCCGATGGTACGACATCCGAAATTTGAAGTTATCCTGTGAAATAAAAAAGCCTGTCACATACATCCGAAAGTTCGTTCCGAAATTTGACAGTTTTGACATTTTTCTGCTGCACTGAATAGAGATTCATGTCATGGTTTATTGGAGAAACACTTATAAAAATAACTTCCTCGCCAAATATCCGAAATTGCCCACTTCCACTAAACTTGTTTTTAAAAACAAATGTTTTCAAAAAAAGTGAGGTTAAAAAACACACAGTATCGTACAAAAGTTAAACAAAATTTAACTTTATACGACGTCGGACGATTAGTTAAAATTATCGGATAAAAATTGGTGTCAAAATATTTCGGCCAATAGGAGCACCGTCGGATCGTCGTGTCATCGGATTTCGGATGCACGAGACTCCGGCTTTAAACGAAGGGGAGGAAAGAAAATTAAAATCTTAATTTTTTTAACCTTTGTGAAATATGTCACTCACTAAAAATCGTCAAAAAATATCTTTTATACTCCTTTACACTCAGGATTTTTTTAGAAGTGGTGGAACAATATGAAAAAAATTAAAAACTTATTTTTATTCTAAGATCTTCTGTTTTAACCAAAGGTTTTAACTAACTTGTTTAGTTTAAAAAAGTGCTTTGGAAAATATTTTTTCATTAAAAATACATCCTTGCCAGAAATAAACAAAGAATATTATAAAAAAATGAGTCCGAGTCAAAATTAATGTTCTTGCTTTATCGACAACGAAGTTACAGGGTAGTCAAAAGTGCCGCTAATACCCTCGAGAAAAGAATGGTACGGCTGTGTTCGAGATGGCGTACATGAACACATTCAGTTTCAAGATCCTGAATTTTTAAACTGAACTGAATTTTTTTGAAACCATGTTTATATGAATATTTTTTAAAATACGATTTTCCATGGCGTGTTAAAGGTATAATAATATAAAATGAAACTACACTCTAAAAAATAGATGTATAAAATTTATTTTGTGGTTTTTTATTGAAAAATATATAATAAATATTTATTTTTTCCACAGATTAATCATCTTAATGATACCCACAAACAGCTAATGGTACATTGGGTCGGAGAAAACAGCAAAGTGGTAATTTGTTTGGCCCGTGATCCGTCGTTCGGTCTTTTCGAGTACCAGCAAGTGAACCCATCGGCTGTTTACATCTCGTACGACGATGGCGACACCTATGTTAACCAAACCGACCAGTTCAAACTACCTGACAACACCACTTACGCAACGCTGGAGAAGTTCTACAATCATCCTCAATTCAACTCAATAGTTAGTGAATTTTTATGCGTATTTTATATACAGGGTGCAGGGTGTTTATTAAATTACAGTTACAGGGGTTGGAACTTAGCTTAACTACCGAAACTAGAGCAATATGAATAGAGAACTGGAAGAAATTGAAGCCATTGTCTCTGTTCATACTATCTTTACATTTATTAATTTTGACGCTCTCATATGCCTCTAATTGCCTGTAATTTGAGAATTAATTTTAAATTATTGATATTTATACAAGGTTCTTTTCAATATTTAGCAGGTCTGCCATAATATCTTATCCGACCCATATCAGAGAATATACAGATTATAAACTTATTGTCAAAAGCATTGTTTTTCGTGGTTCCAATTTTCGGAGTCGCTAGTTAGGTTACTAGTTTGCGCACAAGCACGCCCACTTATGGCCTCTAAAATTGTGCACAGCGCCTGACCGGCCTTGTGACCGGCGCAGTTATTACGCTGTTTAAACGGGAGTTTATTTTTGCGCACAAGAAAATTTACTCGTTTGCTCATCGTGATAAAAAACAATTTTCGTACCACGAATTAGGGACAAGATTTTTATCTGTATACTTATAGGATACCTAATCTGTGCCCATATGTTCTTTAAATCTAGTTAATATTGATCTTCTAGTTCGCCCAACATCTTTCTGATTAAGAATCTTTTATGATATATCCGACCTTCCCAGTGAAGGTGTTTCATCCTTTAGGATAACCTAATAATTGTTGTCTATTATTAGCACTATACACAAGTTTATAACTGACATTCTTAAAAAAAAATCGTTTTAAACCACGGGATAACTCTTTCAAACGGTATTGAAAAATGTTTTGACTATCTTTCAAGTGGAGGAAGATATGTCAAAATATTTTTCAGTATCGTTAATTTCTAGGAAAATGTAAAAAAATACCAAAAAAAATCACAGGCTGGTTTCTGGATTCAAAATAGGTGCACTTATTTAACACCCTGTATAATATATAGTGTTTATTAATTTTATAAACATGCCATCTATTATAATTTGTATAATTATATTAATAGCTGTTTTTTAGTTTGTGTTTACTGACATAAGACATAATATGCTGTACGTTACCACAAATCATGGAAAGGATTTCAACAGAATAGCACTGAATTTCACTCCAAGTGAATTGTCGTTTCATGAACTCAGCAAGACAACTTTCGTAATTTTGGACAGGAACGATACAGAGAACAAGGTAAAAACATACAATTAAGTTAAATATAGAATTAACAACAAAAAAATTCTTTTATAGGTACTGAATAATATTTCGTATGGTCGAAAAAAGTCGTTTAGTTGGCTTGGAAATGACGGCTATTGATATTTACCATAATATTTTATATATGAAATAACAGCGATCTTCATTTCCAAGCCAACTCTGACGCGGTTCTTTGTTTAATCATACAATATTAAATTGTTTAATGATAGCAATTCCGTATTATTAACGTAGTGTACCGAAAATCCATAAATCTACGGATTAATCCGTAGTTCTGGCAACACTGTCTGCGGCGACCACACATTCTTTTCTTTATCCGCTGCGCTGTAAAGTGTAAACCACTATAGGCGCAGAGCTAAACTAAATCTTGGAGATGTACCGGTGACGCCCGCTACATTTCGGATATATTTTGTGCCGCGAAATCGCGCATAAGGTTGCGCATCTTTTTATTTTTTCAATCAACAATAGACTGAAATGTTACGGTGTTGCCAAGAAATTTTCCCCACATTAAGGAATTTTCGTTTTTTTTATATTAGAAAATTCCAACTTTGTGTCGTATCAAACACAAAATGGCCAAGCAACGTTGCCAAAATGGTGAAAATTTCCCCAAATTTAGGGATTTTTTAGAAATACCAGCGCATAGAAATCTAAATGTATAAAATAATGAATTCTAGCTCTGGATAACCGAGGATTCCGGCAAAACGTTTCGAAGGGTGCACGAGTACGTCAAGGCTTGTTATTGGATCAAGGATGGCGACAGTCACAATCTGTTGGTTCAGAGAATGGAACCGGGACAGTCTACGACCATTTTGTACTCGAACGATCTGTTTCGGGGTCGCAGGAGTCGAATTTATGCCGCAAACGTTCAAGATTTCTTTCTCAAGAACGACTATATCTTCACCACGAGAAAAAACACAAAGGTAAGTAAATACTTCCTATTAAAATACAGGGTGGTCCGAACTGTATTCCGGAAACTTCGGCAGCATATTCTGTCGATAAAAATAAGTATAAAAGTTCATATAAATGTATGTCCTAAAATGCTTAGTTTCGGAGATACAGGGTGTAGAATTTTTTTTCCGATTTTTTCGTATAATTTCTGAAGTAACGTCAATATTTCGATGAAAATGGGTGTCCGAGAGTTTTTTAACATGAGAAATTTGATTTTGATGTCAATATCACTCCTACTTGTAGAGGGCGCCACCTACATATGTATTTTTTAACTGGTTTGAAGAGTAATAACTTTTCGTCCGTACCTGTATAAAACTACTGAGTAAAAAAATATACATTTACAACGTTTTTTACGTAGAAAAGGTCTCTTGGTAAAAATCGCTACGAGTAATGGTTCTCGAGATATTTGGAATCGAAATTAACAATATCTGTCGTCATTTACATCCATTAAACATGTTGACTAAATAGTTATTAGACTGAAATCATAAATTTTTAAATGATTTTGTGGCAAAAGTTCAACAGAAACTGTTTTATTATCATTTTTTCGAAGGAAAATTTATGATTAATTTAAAAAAATAAAAAGTTCCAATCCCAAATTTATATTTCAGTCAAATAACAATCTACCCGACATGTTTATTTTTTGTCAATAATGACATGTATTGACTATTTCCATTCTAAATATCTTGAGAATGGTTACTCGTAGCGATTTTTACCTATTTTGCATAAAAAATTACGGAAATGTATATTTTTTACCCAGTAGTTTTATAAAGGTACGGACGAAATGTTATTACTCTTCAAAACAGTTAAAACACATGTATGTGGCACCCCCTACAAATAGCAGTCATACTGGCATCAAAATCAAATTTCTCATCTCAAAAAATTCCCAGACACCAATTTTGATCTAAATATTGACATTACTTCGGAATTTATTAGGAAAAAATCGTAATAAATATGAAACTTCTACACCCTGTATCTCCGAAACTAAGTATTTTAGGACATACACTTATACGAACTTTTTTACTTATTTTTATCTGCAGAATATGCTGCCGAAGTTTCCGGAATACAGTTCGGACCACCCTGTATATAAAAACTGTTAAAATATAAAAACTGTTATTGAGTTCTTCAGTATTGAATGCGTATTTAATTTAAGTCAAACATTATTAAAAGTATGCTAAATTAACTTCTGCGAATTTATATTTGAACATGTATGTACGTGTATTTTTATAGCTTGAATATGTATATAAGCGCGAGCTAAATATGTTTACTGTTGTTTCATTGTTCACAATTAATTGTAAAATTGTTTGCAATCCGTTCTCTAGAGACGACAATGGAATAAATAAAAATATCCACCCCAACACCAACACCGACACATTGAAACTTTGAACTCGCCAAGCGCGATCGTTTTGTTGACATTCTATAAATAGCAACATTTTTTCACGGGTTTTATCTGATTAGCCTGACGTACTAGCTTTTTTATTTTAGTTATGTCGACAAGGAAAAAAACATTTTTCTGTTGTTTTATTGCAATAATTAAAAATAATAAGAATAAAGATGAATAGTAAAAAACTCTTTGTCATAAACCTGAAAATAAAATAAAATACAAATACCCACGATGTCTATACTTTTTTATATTGATTTCAGTTAATGAGTAACATTATCTGACCTAAGCCCGTGATGTTTTTGAAGATACTCAGTATTCCTGGAATTATCTGACCATTAAAATTATTTATTTGAATTATCCTGTGTACTTCCCCGATTTTTAAATTCCACTTAAAATAAAATTTCGTATAACACACTGTCGAGAAAAGTTAAAGCATCATAGTAACCTGCGAAATAACAATCCATGATATTTTCTATCAATTTATTTAGTAAAAATAGTTTATCGAAAACAGATTTATGTATAAAAAAATTTCAGTGATTGTCGTTTCAAAGATCACTGGGACGTCGTTTTTTTCAGTGTATTTTTATATCTTTCTTTCTTCAAAATTAAATTTCACAGTACGTCTCTTTGCTTTTGAACTAAATTTGACTATCAAAAAGATGTTTACATATATTATTGATATTTTATATATCTCGGTTATGAGTAATAATCTCTGAGTAAGCACGTGATGATGTGATTTATTCTTAGGATTTATTGTTAGGAAAGATGATATATAAATATTTTTGTAATTTAATATTAAAAATCAAATACCCATTTGTTCTCACTGATTTTTTCTAATAGGTTTTTACTTATAAATCAATATTTATAGCATATTATTCTCATACAAGTCTTACAAACTTTTTAATAAAAATGAACTCTTTTTATATGAAAAATAAATTAGAACTCCGATAGATATTTTATGATATTATTGAAGTGAAACTCAATAATAATTAAAAGCCGTAAAACACGACATGACCTTGACCATGCTTTGACACACGAGCTAGTGAGAAAAAAAGCGGTAACGATCGCGCAAACACCAAAAAACATTTGATTTAAAGTTAAGAAAAGCATTATAATAAACTTGATACTGTGCCTGGGTGCCAATATCTTCTAGTTGTGTGCTAGAAAGCAAATTTTTATGCATATTTTTATCGATAGGTTTGTAGCTTCTGAATAACGGTCTAGGTAAAGCATTTAGCTCATTTGATAACTCAGAATTAGAATAGTTAGAGTAAAGTAACTCGCATTTTCATTGGAGAATATCGTCATATTTATTTCCAACCAATAATCAACGAGGATATTCGTATAATTCTTTGAATAAGAAGACTAAGGAAGGAGCATATCAAAAATCTTAGGTACACCGCGATGGGCCTCAAATATGGCCGACTTAAATTCCGGTTTATCAGTGTCGTTCTAATTTTATTTAAAAAATGTAAAACTATGATGTAGGGTAGACGTGGGGTAGACTCAATAATTTGTTGTTTTATTTTACGTTGTGAATAAATGTTGGTAGTTATTAAAATTGTTATAAAAATATATAATTCTAATAAAAATAGATAAGTTATAATAAGTATTTATTAACACAAACATCCGATACGCTACTGAAGCAGGTAAGTCAAATTAACGTATTTAAATTCTTTGACATCTAATCTTTGACAAGTAATAAATAAAAGCTAAAATGCAAGAAAAATATATAATTTAGTTAATTTAAGTGAATTTCATAAATGATCGGTTTACTACACGTATGTATATTATAGAGTCACTTACTAAAAGTTGTTCCATTATTCCACTCGATTTTTGCCGAGATCTACCGCACGCTACACAACCAACTATTTTAGAGTCTTTTTCGATAAATCGCGATAGTGTCACTGTTAATTTAAGTTCTGCCACAATTTCCATCTAGATTTAGGACCTTTATACAACTATCAGTAGTAGAATAAATAATAAATAACATAAAATAAGCTCCGTAAAGACTGACAAATCCACAAAATTTCAAATCAAATTCAAATGTGTTAAATGAATCGTCAAACAGAACTGTCAAGGATCCCCACCCTAGAGTGCTTTTTCCGCCCACCATGCATGAATACATGGATAGCATTATGCTCCTTCCTTAGTCTTCTTATTCAAAGGTATAATTCAACAAAATTGTTGGTTGGGTTTAAATTTTTTTCTCTTCTTAAATAAATTTAAACGTTAACATTATTAGGCATTTGCATAAATGTGTGTATTTTGGGCGGTATTCCACAAAATTTGCAGGCTATTGATGAAACAGAAAATGTACAGGGTGGGTCAAATTCGACGCTTTTAAATGGAAACACCCTTTTCTATAGGAGCTAGACGAAAACTAATATCGGTGTCTGGAGCTCAATTTTGATCAAAAACATGATGGTGAAAACCGCACATCAATATCAGTTACCGTTTCGGAGTTACGGGGTGTTTTTCAAAAATGAGCATTTTCAACAAATCACTGTAACTTTTTTGCTATGGAAAATTTTGTATTTCTATGAAAACATTTCCAAAGCACCTTTTTACGTAGAATTTAATGGTTTGAGTATAATTTTGTTTAAATTAATAATTTAAGAGTTATCAACAGAAAAATTGATTTTTTATTTGGGACACCCTCTATATTTTTAATTAACTGAAAAGAATTTAAAATTGCCTTTCCAAAAATATAGCACACTTGATATTTTGTTATAATCATAATATAATATATAAATACAGAATTTTTAAAAGTTCGCCACTTTTAACTAGTAGGCTTTGGACCCCTTATTGATGATATTGCCCTTAATGGAACTCGAAAACATATTTTTCCAGCAAGACGACACACCGCCTCGGAACGCTGAAGTTATCAGCAAATTTTTGCAGCCAATTTCAAGAATAATTGAATAGCTAACCAAGATCCCAGCCGTTGGCCGTCGACGCCGGCTGACTTAGTGCTCATGGATCTAATCCTATGAAGGTTCCTTATTCTTCTGTATAATCTAGACAAGAATTAGAAATACTTAGCAGTTATTTGAGGGTATCTTTCACCCCCACTGAGTTAATGAATTCCGCGAGAAATGTTCAAAAACTACCCCGTCTTTCCATAATAGAAGACGGTCGATATGTCTAACACTTGTAGCAAAATCTCATGTCTTGGTTTGCTATTTATTTTTATTGTTATTAGATATAGTTTAAATGTGTTGATGTTGGTTAAATATATTTTAAATTGTTATAAAATTCTGCATCTCTCGTAGCAAATATTATTTTCGTTTTAACTGATGCTCACAGTTAGAATTTTTTTGCAATACAGCCGGTTCCGTTTAAAGCCTACTTATTTAAAGCGGGCGAATTTTTATATACTCTATATCTCAAAGAGGAATCGAGCAAAATATCAAGTGTGTTATATTTTTGGAAAGGTAATTTTAAATTCTTTTCAATAAACTAAAAATATACAGGGTGTCCCATATAAAAAATCAAATTATTAATTTTAAAAAAATTATACTTACACCATTAAATTCTACGTAAAAAGATGCTTTGGAAATGTTTTCATAAAAATACAAAATTTTCCATAGCAAAAAAGTTACAGCTATTTGTTAAAAATGCATATTTTTGAAAAACACCCCGTAACTCCGAAACGGTAACAGATATGCGATTTTCACCATCATGTTTTTGACAAAAATTGAGCTCCAGACACCGATATTAGTTTTTGTCTTCTATAGAAAAGGGTGTTTCCATTTAAAAGCGTCGAATTTGACCCACCCTGTACAGATTACCAGAAATAAATTGAAAATAACGTTTATATTAAAACGGCATTATATGTCCCTTTTTCAAACATGTTCTTCAAATCCTCCAATTTAATAGCTGTTAGTAAGAAGTTTCTAATATGCGCACATATAGTATACAGAAATTTTTTTAATCTGTCCTCTTTCTAATCTTCCGTTAGAAAACATTTGTTTCATATATTATGAAGAGATCACTATAGTCGTCATTGATCACTTTTTCTTTAAAGGGCGACTTGGAGCTATACCTCTCTTACAAGCTAGGCAGACAGTTGCCTTGCGTCTTCGACACGTCTCTGAACATGAGAAACTTCTTTGTAGCTGACGTAAACAACAACAGGGCCTTGGTAGCTGCAAGTCACGCGGAAAACAGCTCGAATCTCTATGTCTCTGACAATCTCAATGGCAAAAATGGTAAAATATACTTCACTCTTTCCCTGGATGATATTTTTGCGTTCTTCCCAAATAGCACTTGGCAAGGGACATGGCTTCAGTAAGTACCTATGGTCTGTTCAATTTTAAAATATTTATAATTATACTAAGTATTTTTCTCAGTATTTTTTATACCGTGCTGGCAACTGTTACTTTTGGGTCGGTATTTACATGTGTTGAAGTAAATCGCATAGGGATCTTATTAAGTCGGAGTGAGAGAAATGCGACGGTGTGCTGTTGCGGCGTTGCCGGTACGCCTTTCCCTATCAAGTAAAGTAAAATAACGATCGCAAACCGCTTATTTTTAAAAGACTTTTTTTGAAAAGATAACTAGATAAAATCATTAGACATCTTTCTAAGCATCTGAAATGGAATTATGAGGATATCGTTAAGGTGTCATTTTTTTATAACGAGAAAACATCAGCATAGCAATTTTCAGCAATCGTGTAATTTTTTTATTGATAAAGATTTTCACATACTGTCTACGAAGAAAATACAGCAGAAATATTAAGAAAGTTTTTGAAAAACTACAATCAATTATTTCTAATAGATTTCGAGATATCGATTTTTGAATTCAGAGTTCTAATAGCGCGACCACTGTCGAACACCAACTCAGTTTCACTTATTTTTACCAAAAATGCAAGTGTTTCTAGCTTGCACTTAAAATTTTTCAAGTTATAGGGAAAATTACAACGACTCGTTAATAAATAAACAAATAAAGTATCACGAGACGTAATTAAATCGTGAAGCTGAACGCATGATGTACACCTCTCCCTAGAACTTTAAGTACTGACAGAGGTACTGATTGGGTCGACCTGTTAACTGCGACAAATCTGCTATATCCCCTTCCACGTCTCTTAGCAATGTGCACAGTTTCTCGGTTTATTTCATATGTTTGGCAACGTGTTTACTGTTCTCTCTTTGTTCAGTACATTATAAACGCATTGTACTCTTCTTACATATGGAAATCTCGACCCAAGACTAACCTTTGCCAGCCCTTAGTATAAGGTTATATAAAGGTTTTATTTTCCTCTTTTAGTCACATATCCGAGGACCCATTTGTCGACATCTACAAAGTCGAAGGTCTCGCAGGCATCTACATAGCCTCGAGAGTAGTCTCGCGCATTGATAACAACAACCTAGGCCCCCAACACCTCGGTTCTGTCATAACTTTTGATAGTGGCGCCACCTGGCGACCGATACAACCCCCCGCAGTTGACGTAGAAGGCCAAAGCACTAGTTGCCTACCTTCAAGAGGCTGTTCATTACATTTAAGCCAGAAATTCAGTCAGCTTTATCCCGAAAGCAGATCTGTCAGTATCCTGTCAAGCGAGTCGGCTCCAGGTGTCATTATAGCTACCGGCGTGCTTGGAAACAACCTCAAAGGGCATTACGGAGTGTATATTAGTGTTGATGCGGGCTTAACATGGAGACAGATACTTAGAGAGTTGTATTTCTTCAATATGGGCGATCACGGAGGTGTAATTTCCGCTGTGAGGTATTTCAAAAGTATTTTTTCGACCAGGCACATCCTGTATTCGATCGACGAAGGTGAAACGTGGAACCACACGATATTTCACGACGAAGAGATCAAATTATACGGACTTATGACGCAGCCAGGCGAAAATACGACAGTGTTTACCATGTTCGGATCGCTGCCTCAAGAACACAAATGGATCATAGTGAAAGTCGATTTTGCCAACGTTTTTAAGTCAGTGTGCAAAGCTGATGACTATAAAATGTGGTCGCCAAGTCAGACTGAAGAGAATCGTAGTTACATCCCGTGTATTCTTGGGGAACAGACGGTGTATCAGAGAAAGGTACGTCATACAAACTGTCTTAACGGTAAAGACTTTGTCAGGATGGTGTCGAAGAAGCCTTGCGATTGTGATGTCCTCGATTTCGAGTGCGATTATGGCTTTAGTAAAGTGGCCGAGAAGATTCCAAGGTAAGGATGGGTAAATGTATCGATATAATTTTCAAAAACGTATCGATATTTCTACAAATATCGATATTTTTTGAAAACGCACATCCCTATCTTTAGGTGTATCGTCGATAAGAAGCTGCAGTCTTACGATCCCTACAAACCTCCTGCTGACTGCGTTCCCGGAGGATTTTACACCAGAACCAAAGGTTACAGGAAGATTTCGGGGGATAAATGCGTCGACGGCTTCGAACGACATTATTTGCCCGATGTCGTGCCCTGTCCCTTCAAAGAAGCAGACGATTTCCTTCTATTCGCTCAAAGAGAGGTCATTTCTAGGTAAGTCGGTAGATATTTTTTCCACACGTTCAATACTAAGTTTTTTAGTAACATATCTGCTTTTGTGTTATTAAATAATATATATTATTTGACACTGCATGTCAATTTATGACATGCGTGCTGTAAGTGTGTTTAAGGTTCATCTAGAGAAATGAAACTTTAAATAAATCAAAAGTTTTCAATCTGTTTCATTGGAGCCTTCTGTATAATTTCTTTCCAGGTATAATCTAGTAACAGGCGTGATGGAACCTTTACCAATCAAAAACCTGAAAAACGTGATCGCCATAGACTTCGACATGGAGAACAACTGCGTTTACTGGGCCGACATCAATCTCGACACCATCAACCGTCAGTGCTTCTCGAACGGCAGTAAACTCGAAACTCTAGTCTCCCACGACCTAGCGTCCATCGAAGGCATGGCCTACGACTGGATATCCAAGACTCTGTACTTCGTGGATGGCACCAGAGCTAAAATAGAGCTGATAAGGACCGATATCAACCATAGTGGTAGAATGAGGAAGACTATCTTGGACGGAAGTATTCTTAAGAAGCCTAGAGGTATCGCCCTTCACCCTCAAGCGGGTTATATGTTTTGGACTGATTGGTCCGCCGAGAATCCTTCGATAAACAGAGCTAATCTAGATGGGACTAACAACATGACGTTGTGTGGAAAAGATAAAGTTGAATGGCCCAATGGAATAACTGTGGATTACATGGCTAACAGGTAAGAAAAAAGAACTGTTAAAAAAAATTAATGTTAGTTACTAAATTAATTATCAATAAATAATTAATTCTCTAATTAATTAGCTTACTAATTAATTAATTCAATAATTAATTAGCTTAATGATTAATTTAATAATTAATTAACTTAATAATTAACTTAAAAATGATTTAACAATTAATTAATTTAACAATTAATTAATTTATTTAATAATTAAATAAATTAAAATTTATTTTTTTAAAATTTTTATTTAGGATCTACTGGGTGGACGCGAGGAAAGACTACATAGGCAGCTCGGATCTACATGGAGATGGATTCCAAAGAGTGGTGCACGACGCTGACGTAGTGTCCCACCCTTTCGCAGTGGCGGTGTTCAAGAGCGTGCTGTACTGGGACGACTGGAAAAAGAACGCCATCTACAGTAGCGACAAGGACATCTACAAAGGCGTAGACGTGGTAGTGAAAGACTTGGCGGGCTTGATGGATCTGAAAGTGTATGGTCATGGAATTCAGTTTGGTTAGTAATTATTTACAATCTTTGAACTTTAATAGTATTATCTATGTATTTGTTCATTTCCTGAATGGTGGTATCAATACCACCATTCAATGAAACAACTAATTTTAATTAAGATTGCGTCTATTACTAATTTTATATTAATGCATTAGAGATTGAAGCAACGTCATAGAAATACCGTCTTTTGCAAGAATCAAAACGTGATCAACTTGAGTGACAAGCGATGGCGGCAGCGCTGCCAAATTGTGATGGATTTATGAGATGAATCTTAATTTAAAATTGACAAACGATATAATTATTATATCATTTTTTAAAGATGTTTACGTTTTATTTTTAATTTAATAACTAATATTTTAGTAATTAATTGATCTATTTGTTTTATAGCTTATTTTACTTATTACATATTGATAAAAACTAGTCCATTATGAAGATTGTTCTAAGCGTTATTATGAGTTATTTATTTATTTATTGATGTACATCTTACAACGCCATAAGTGGTAACAAGTAAGAGGGTGCTATTATTGCACAAACTAATAATCACAGAATTTAATAAAATCTAACTTGGAAGTGGTATAATGTGCTTATCAATAAAAACTTCTCTGACTGCAGTTAAGGGTAATAAAGGACCTTTATTGTCATGTTCTCGTTCAAAATAGTTTATCAGGGAAGCTACAAACTTTTGGCTTCAACTGTTTTTGGCATATTTTCAACACTCAAACTTCAAGAAATGCAATACAAAAACTCGAAAATTTAGTTCTTAAAAGAACTGTTTGTGCTTAAAAGTACAATGTTTAAGAAAAAAACTAAAAAATAGGCAAAAAAACGAGAATTGCTCACAAAGATTCAACAACAACACAATATTAGACAAAATAATGACTGCGATTAGGATAATTATTGTTAAATAATAAATGACAATGTTGCTGAACACGGCGCAATGTGACCAACAAAGCGATAATAAAATTCTGTTTAAACTAATTTTTGCAGCTTTAATCTAAATAAAATATCTGTTACAATCATTTGCTCTATGAAGTAAAATGAAGAGCTGCTCGGTATCTTAAATTATACAACATATTTAAACATTTGTGCCAAAATTTCATTTAGTAAGGTTTATAGATTTTAGTGTCAATGGCGATATGATTGATGATGTGCATCGGAAAATGTTTTGCGATTACCGTATAGCATATATAACGTAGAACTGGATATTAAGACTGTGCGTCAGCTACTTATTGTTTTTCTCCCTAGGTAAGAACGCCTGCGCCAACGCCTCCTGCCCCTACATCTGCGCCGGCCTGCCCAAGAACCGGCACGCCTGCCTCTGTCCCGACGGCATGATCGCCGACAAGGAAGGGTGCCTGTGCCCGGGCGGCGCGGCGGCCCTGGCCAACGGCACCTGTCCCTCCGTGGGCAGCTCGTGCAGCGCCGACCACTTCGCCTGTGGCAACGGGCTGTGCGTGCCCAAAGGCTGGCGCTGCGACGGTGAGGACGACTGCGGCGACTACTCGGACGAAGCGAGGTGCGGCTCGCAAACGTGCCCGCCTAGTTTCCACGTGTGCGGGGACGGCAAGTGTTTGCCGCACTATTGGAGGTGAGTATTTCCGAATTTTGTGGATTCTTTTCCTAGATCATACTAAGGTCTGGCAAAGGTTAGTCTTGGGTCGAGATTTCCATATGTAAGAAGAGTACAATGCGTTTATAATGTACTCAACAAAGGTTGGCAAGGTCTGGTTTGGGGTGCCGATTTTCGTGTGTACGAAGAATACAGTAAATACGCTCAGTACAATAATATACAGGGTGTTATAAAAGAACGTGCCATCTTTTGTGAGGAGATTCCTCTCGTAAAAATAAGAGTTATTTTATTAATATTAACATAGGTCCGATTCTGATTTGTTTCTATTCTGTTCTTTGTAGACTTTCTGTTCTTTGTGAGCTACAGATTTATTATAATTTTCTTCCGAGTTCTTTTAGCGATTCGAATGAAATTTTGTGGGTAAAAATTACTCTAAGTTCAACATATTTTAATGCTAAAAAAGTGTCGACGTATTCATCAGGGACGGCTTCCTTAAATAGCTGTACAGATTATATACGTTTTGGGCCGTGTTTTAACCGTGTTAGTTATTTGTTTGACAGATGCGACTATGACGTGGACTGCAACGACGGGTCCGACGAGCTGAACTGCCCCCGGCAGAACTGCACCGAGTCCCAGTTCGCGTGCGAGAACGGCCGCTGCATCTCGAAGAACTGGCGCTGCGACGGCGAAAACGATTGCAGGGATAATTCGGACGAGCGCAACTGCGATCCGGCCCAACCCACCACCTGCAAGGGCGAGGACGAGTTCCAGTGCAAGAGCGGCGCGGTCACCTGCATTCCCAGCACGTGGAAATGCGACAACGAATCGGATTGCCGGTAAGTGTTTTATTGAGACGTTTATCTATCATTAAGAGAGTAGGGATGTTCGATTTAAATCGATTCTTCGGAAAATCGATGTTTTGACATGCGATTGCCAATTTTTTGATTCGATTAATCTAGAATCGATTCTTTTAGATCGAGATCGATTCGTTATGCAACCCGAATTTTTTCCTCAATTTCAAAAGATATAATTAATTACGTAATAACAAGAAATTAATCTACACTCAACAGAAGCCATTTTATTTTGGTTTGTTTTTTAGGTTTTAAAGTTTTACGTTACACTGTTATCTAAAGACAATTTGCTTGCTGTTGTATTATTCAGAATTATACTGTATTTTGTTTTATAATTTGTGTCTTTGTGTATAAAAAAGTCATAAAAAATAGAAATATATTTTATAATTTATTGCGAAAATGGAAAATCAGAGTCAACAATTGAATTAAAAAATAGATTGGTTGTCACAAAGATCGATTTTTTAGCTTGCGATTTTTCTTGTATCGATTCGCGATTATTTGATCTAGATCGATCCAAAAAAATCGATTCGTTTACAGAATCGCACATCCCTATAAAAGAGTAGAAAAATATAGATCATAACATATATATACCACTTTTATATATTTTCTTTTAATCAAAATATTTTAGGAGAAAAAAAATTAATTATAAATATATAAACTTACATCAACAAAACTCACCTCCTTAACAGCACTTAAGAGACATAAAGGGCCATTATTACCACTTTCCCGTTCGAAATATTCTAATAAGGTTGCGATGAGTTTTTTGCTACGGCTATTAAGCTATTTTGTACACTTTGCACTAAAAGAAGTTCTAAAAAGAACAATGTTCGACTGCAAAATGACTTTTTTGCCTCCACATTTTGTGCCAATCAAAGGTACAGCCTCACCGCAAAAAGTGTAATTTTTACTCCTAATAAAACAATATACTATTGTTTGACCACTGACATAGAGCTATATGGAGGGTTCAGAATCCAATAATTTATTAGACTTTTTGGAAGGGATAGGACAGCCTGTATATTTATCCAAGAAATTCTGTTGTAGCGATGGTTCTGACGAATTCAACTGTTCGAATAACACGTGCACGGAGAACCAGTTCTCGTGCGGTCCGCCCAACAACCGGTGCATCTTTAGCACGTGGGTCTGCGATGGAGATAAAGATTGTCCAGATGGCAAGGACGAAATGAACTGTACCGATAACTTGCCCAAACCCGAACCTCCCAAACCATCAAACGACGGATTTTATTCCAAGGTAAGACCTAAACGCTCGGTGTCTCAAGCGTATCACAAACAGAAACTACCAGGGGGACTCTTCATAGACCTTTACTACTATAGCTGACTGACACCTATACGACTCAACATATTTCTATATAAATTATGACTTTTTAGAATGGTACTTGTCAAGAATGGATGTTCCGTTGTCGCAATCAGCGCTGTATACCCTTCTGGTGGAAATGTGACGACGTGGATGACTGTGGAGACGGCAGCGATGAGGAAGGATGTACCAAACCCGTTCCTTTACCACCAGTACTCCAACCCTCTACAACAGCAAAGTAAGTAAAATTTCAAAACTTAAAAATGATTTTTTACGTGAAATTTAAACATATTTTAAAAAAGTATTCTCTGTTAATCGTTTTAGACCATACTTATGCAAAAACAACCAATTCCAATGCTGGACGGGTCAGTGTATATTGAATGCTTGGCTTTGCGATGGTAGTTTTGACTGTCCAGGCGGAGAAGATGAACAACACTGCGAAGGCACCAAGAACAACTGTTCCGAACCGGGTCAGTTCAGGTGTAGAGACGACGGCAGCTGTATAGCGGTAAGTGTCGATTGGAATGCTTGTCAAAATATATAATTGTTTTGGGTCGCGACCGTTTTACGCGATCTGGCGCTGCTGTAGCGGTTGCTAACAACAGCCGCAAACAAAAACAGAAAAAAATTTCTCTTGTCAAAGTCAGAATCTTTAAAAATTATAAAATCTTTGAAAATTTAAACCACCCTCATTGAAAACATTCCGAAAAGTGTTTAAAGCGTCCATTTTCAAAGTAACTATTGCTATCTTGTGAGTTTAATTTAAATTTTATTTACTCAAACTCGTGATAATTGTAAAAAAGCGGCATTACAAACTTTAAAAACTGTGCTGTGAACAGCAAAAATCGTGGATCGTGGCATAACGTCGGTTTCCAATGTTTCATAGGTATTTCATACATGTCCTCATATAAAATAAAGTTTCTTGTGACATAATTCCGGAAAAAGCCAAACCGCTCCGAAATTATAAAAAGCTTTGGGTCGCGACCGTTGCCAGAATAGCGCCAAATAGTATTTACATTGTCCTTATGGGTACTTTTCAATATAAACTTGTTATTTATCTATGTTCTACAAGTTCGACTCTAGACTTAAAGATGATGGACTTTACATATATTTTTCGAATTTCCATTTCAGATGTCCGAAGTATGCGATGGCAAACCTGACTGCCCCGACAAATCCGATGAGCTTTCCTGTTTGGAGCAGTACGTTCCCAACGAACCAGCTACTCCTAGCTGCAATCTGGGGTACTTCCCCTGCGACGGGGGCAGTTGCTATCCCTTGGCGCTCATGTGCGACGGCAACAACGACTGTCGCGACCTCTACGATGAAAAAGACTGCTCCAAGAGAACCAAAGTTTATCAAGTAAGAGAGAGGGTTATTTAATAATAACGTAATAGATTACGCATAAACCACTAAAAACTACGATACAGAGATACAGAAAAATCTCACAATAAGAATTCAAAAACTGAGTCACTTCTTATACTAGCCCTGGTCACTTTATTTCCGTGGTCTGTATTTTAATACATGCGACAGAGACACATTTATATAAATATAAATGACTGATTGACAGACAGAGAGTCAAAATAAAAAGCGCCATACAGTGTTGTCGGTTTTTACGCGTGTAGGAAAATGTGTGTAGAAAAAATAAACTAATAAAAACTCATATAATATAGTAATGAAATGAAGATAATATATCTAAGCTAAATATAACCTCAAGCCGTAGTAAAAAAGTCGTAGCTAAATATATCTAAGCCGTAGTAAAATCAGTAACTAATTGTGAAAAATAAAGCTTCAACCCTAGATGCAATATTTTTCGTAAACGCCTAATGGTTTGAAATTTTGATGCAGAATTCGGCAATATTGCATAGAAGAAATGTATCGATAAACCCAACTTTTATCTCTTTTTAATACATTTAATAAGATAAGAATATGTCATTTCTAGTTTGTGCTGCATAACATCCTTTTATAGAAATTTTCACTTAAAAGTATATATTATTTATACACTATATTATTCATAACAATAGCATTTTTTGAAACTGTATGTCTATTAACAGGTTAAAAGAATCGTGACCGGTAGAAGAAGGACGAACTCCACCGCTTTAGGAATTTTCTGGAATATCAGAAATACACCCGATCCTATCGAGTTCATGCCCTCTATCAACGAGCTGGGAACGAACGAGTGGAAAAACGCCAGTTGGACGCAAGAGGAGGACTACACGTTCTACAATTTGAAACCGTACACCCTGTACAACGTCACCGTTTACGTCAGAAGTGTCAATTCTAAAACCGTGTTCCCGCCCGCAGTGTACGAGGTTACCTCGACGCTAGAAGGTAAAACCCTGTCTACTATAACATTTTACCTGTCAGTTTTGGTATCAAAATCAGAAGTATTTGGTCAGCAAATTGGTATCCGTTAGATTAACACTGCGGTGTTTACAAAAAAGTTATACGAGTGTGATCTTATTGTATTGGTTTCACTCTTTTTGATTGGATTGGTTTCACTCTTTTTGATTGGATTGGTTTAGTTATTTGGCGGGTTGGTTAGCGTGGTTATTTGGAGGGTGTTAATTCATTGGTTAGTTCGTTATTTGGTGGGATTGGTTGGTTTTTATTAATTTATATATGTTTTTATAAAAACTAACCTTGACATTTTACAAGTGTCAAGGTTAGTTGCGTTGGTTAAGTAGGCATGAACTTTTGCAACCACTGCATGTCTGTTTGGCATTGTTTTTATTAATGATTAACATACGCCAGAGTAAAAATTTTGCCATAATTCACTTAATATCATCGTCAAATGGGCAACGGTTTCTTGAGGATCGTGGCACAATTTTTATTTTGTTTTATGCCACATGTCTCAATAACATTAAGGTCCGGACTGTGCGAAGGACATGAGGGGACCTTGAGGTTCATGTTCCTAAACCATTTTTTAGTAGTTTTAGCCATATGGCATGCCCCGCCATCCTGTTGAAATATAAAATTCATATCCTGGTAAAGGTCTCTCGCACTTGGCACAAAACTGTTTTTCAAAATTTCTTGATATTTTGACACATTAGTTTTTGCCTTTCTACCACCTCATACCTTCCTAGACCCATTGTGGACATAAACTCTAAAAGCATAATGTCTTTAGGAAATTCCGCTGTCCCTCTTTCATAAAGATCTTGCATGCGTGCAGATGTAATCCTTGAATTTGCAATTTGCGATTAGAATTATCAGCGTCGGATTGGAACTTCTGATGTCACAAACTACAAAAATGACATTAAGGTAAAATATTTAATTATTTCCCAATCCGACGCTAATAATTCCAATCGCAAATGGCAAGTGCACGGATTACATATGCACATGAGCCACCTTAATATCGATATAATTAACACCGCTAGAGTATCTATTTGATAAAGATTGCCTCAGAAGGACAGTGAAATTTCCTAAAGGCATTATGATTTGAAGGAGTATGTCCAAAAGAGGCCCAGAAAAGTATGAGGTGGTAGAAGGCATAATTGATGCGTCAAAAAATCAAAAAATTTTGAAAAGTATTCTTTTGTCAAGTGGAAAGCACAAAGGTCCTTGCAACCAATTGTTCTGGTAAAGACCAGGACAATAATTTTATATTTCAACAGGATGGCGGGGCATGCCATACAGCTAAAAGTACTAAAAAATGGTTTAGGGACATGAACATCAAGGTCCCCTCATGGCCTTCACACAGTCCGGACCCTTATGTTATCGAGACATGTGGCATAAAACAAAACAAAAATTGAGCCACAATCCCCAAGAAACCGTTGCCCATTTGACGATGATATTAAGTGAATTATGGCAAAATTTCTACTCTGGCGTATGTCAATCATTAATAAAAACAATGCCAAACAGGCTTGCAGTGGTTGCAAAAGTTCATGCCGATGTAACGCCATATTAGAACAGTTATTTTTTAAAGTGTCCGAACATTTAGTTGTCACGATATTGTGCAATCTTTTTGTTTATTTATTGGCCTACAGTTTATTTAATGTTTATAGAAACTAAACTATTTAAATACTCATTAGAAATGTTAGATTTTAATATATTTTTAATGTATTTCTTAAATGTAAATAATTCAGTTAAAAATAAATTTTTTTAATATATTTTTGTTTGTCCGAACATTTAGTTGTTAGGGCTCGTTTAAGTACATTCCTTCGTCTTTTATCAGGTCCTAATATGTTTCCCGATTTTGCACATAAAACTACATAATTATTGATGATTATGACACTTGATCGAGAGCTATTTTTTTGACAGGTATTCCTTCGGCGCCATTAAACGTCACGGCTAAACAGCAGAACGGGTCGCACATTCTGATATCCTGGAACGCTCCGGTATATCCGAACGGCGTGATTAGAATGTACAAGATCATGTGGAATTACGGGTCGGAACAGGCTCATTTGGAACTGTACGGCAACGAGACTTCGCATATGCTGACGGCAGATTTCGAACACAACAGATCCTACACTTTTGTGGTAAGTATTTTTGTTCAAATTCGTATATTTTATAATATTAAAAGAGTCTATTACGCTGTACTTTCGGGTTGCTCTCAGGGGTCGGGTAAAGCGGGTGTGTGGCCGAAGGAAATATATATTATACTTCAGAAATCTGCCTAAGGCTTAGCCCGATCCTGTCGTGTTAAGCCATACCCAAAATTCCAAACACACGTGCTTTGATTAAGGCTTGATTAGGGTTTGCGGAGCTTCAACATTTGCCATAAAATAGCGAGCAATTTGTTACAAAACCATATAAATTATATATCACTGTAATCACAAAACTTCAGTCTATTTCCGTATTGTAACGGAATATTAAATGATGTCTTTATTTTTGAGAAATTTTAGTCCAAACATAAGGAATATTTTGTTGATGATTGACCATCAAAATTTTAAAAATAAAGAAGTTTTCTAAAAATGTGCTACAATACGGATATGGTATAATCCTTTAGCTTCATTCAGAACCTCGAAATCAGTGAAATAAATTAATAGTTTCAATTAGCTGTAGAAGTTTGTTCACCTAATTTTAATGTAAGCATTCAGAACGTCATAATTAGTGGTAGTAATTTTCAATTATTGGAAAAAGTTAACAAACTTTTGACTTTTCCACTAATTATACTTCAAAATTTGCGAGGAATGTCACTTTGGCCTTTGATTATCACCCGTCAAGAAAAATTTTGGTTAGAAATCAAAAGTTTATTGTTTATAAGCTAAATATTAGGTTTTCTCTATGGATACAACAGACTAGCGCAAGCTGTTGCTAATGATCGTAAATTAAAAAGTATAAAGTGTAATTGAAACCACTAATTGGGAGGTTCTGAATGATGCTTTTATCTTTAATTTCCTTCTTCATTTGTGTAAAAATAGTCAGTTATACCTAGTCAGTTTTACATAAAACGTTAAATGCCGATCGCTTATTTTGCTACTTTTTCGGACTAGTGAAATGGACTCTTAATATACATCCATGTTTATGTTACCTTAATTTTTTATTATTTTCCTCAAATAGTAGTAGAAATAAGAACGGTATTTTCTTAAGTTCTTAAGGTTAATTTGTTAAGGTTATTGTTATTTTTTTTAGGTTGTAGCATTTAATACTCTGCACCAAAGTGAACCATCGTCTCCAGCAACCATTACTTTCGATGGAAAAACTAGCGTGGATCCTATTAAAGACTTGATTGTTGCCAACGTGACCAACACAACTGTCACCCTGTCATGGTCGTATAATGGAGAAAGCGACGGGTTTTCCATTAACGTCACAGCGGACAAACAATATTCCAAACTGCCTCCTTACACGACGAAAAATAAGAATTATACCGCTATCCTTGCACCTGGCGCTCGCTATGTCTTTGAGGTAAATTTACAATTTTTGACAATAAAGTTTCTAATTTATACTAGGTTTGTTCCAACTCCGGTGGCGTAGAGGTACAAGCTCTCGTCTACCAATCTCAAGGTGGTGGGTTCGAATCCCACACCCGGCATTAGCATCAGCCGACTATTTTTATTTAAAATAAAAATAGTTTGGGTACCTAGGTCGACTCAGCCTTAAATAAGTACTTGGGATTCACAATCCTGAGGTAATAATAGGCGGTTAAAGCGTAGAGTGCTAGCCACATTACCTTCCTTGTATACCGAACGGCTCTAGTATGGCAAGCTGTACCTTGCTACTCCCAAGGCGTTAAAGGCTATATACGGGAGCTATTATTATTGTTGTTCCAACCCGCCGGAGACCCGTCACCGAACGATCAAGCTCGTGCGCAGTAATTCAAATGTGTTCCAACCGAGATTTGACGGTTATCGGACGATCCTATTTGCGTACCAACCTACCTTGGGATTATTTAGTTATTAGACAATTCAGAACGGTAATTTCGGTACATGGTCGAAATTGAGAACTGTTTGGGTTGACTGGCGCATTAAAGCATATTGGCAGGGATTATCGATTTTCAACAGCTGATTCTGGTCCGGCGTCCGGCTGATGCTTCTGTCATGGTTATTTTTTTACGAATTCTAATATGTGTGCGTTATACTTTTGCTTGTGAGTTTGTGTGGAGTAAATCATTCGGAAATTTTAATTTATTTTATATTTATAAAATAATGTTCAAAGATTCTACCACTGCAATGAAATAACAGGAAACTACGCATAACAGGATCATAAAAGAGAGGATATATAGGTGTGAGTTAATGAGTATACAGTTGAAACAACACTTACCAACAATTACTGGATTCTGATTCTCCATTTCAAGAATAATAATTATTATTGCAAATTGCAAACAAAAATAACAGGGTTATGTTATGAAATTCTAAAGAAAAACAAAAAACCGATCGATACACGCAGGCTTGACACTTTTGACAGTCCCAAAAACAATCCACAAAGCCTTCCAACGTTGATACTTTTTGTACCGTCACGAAACTATTCGAAATCCGCGCATGCTAACAAAGTGCAAGAAAACCGATTCGAGTACGATTTCGACACGATCCCGAAATGCTGGTTGGAACAAACCTACTGTTGAAATCCTGGATCATATATACTAACTAGAAAAACTGTCGTAAACATATCAACGCTTTACATTATCTTATTTCTTCAAGACCAACATGGTCCATGTGCCAAATTTGAATATAAATTTTGAAAATGGATATTCAACTGTAAATAAACATAAAATTAACTTCTAACTGAACGCACTTGCATCCTCTGTATACAGGGGTCAGTAAATTTTCTCAAATGTTAAAGTGCTTAGCAAAGGCACCCCAAATCTCATTCAATTCGGAATGTCGGTTCTTAAAATATCTTAAAAAATGTGTTTATTTTTTTAAAGTGTGATGCCATCTAATGGACAAACGAACCGTTTTTGTATAGAGGTAAATTGAGTTTAGTAATTATCTTATGGCGTTGATATATCCACGTAAGTTCATCCAAAACCATCCTAGTTACTTCATCTGCGTGGTCTGTATTTTAATACATGCGACAGAGATAAACATAAATAACCGGCTGACAGACAGAGATACAAAATAAACAGCGGCATTCAGTGTTGCCGTTTTTTTATGTTTGTAGGAAAATGTGCGTGGAAAAAAATAGACTATTTTAAAAACTTTCATATACAGGGTGTTTCAAAACAAATGCGAAAAACTTTAGGGGGTGATTCCTTGTTCAAAATAAAGGGTAGTTTGCTTTATAAACGTTGGGTCAAAAGTCAACCATTAGGGAGATATCGCGGTACAAAGATGGCGGAAAAATAATGTTTTTATTTTTTATCTTGAAAACGAAAAGAGATAGACTAATGAAATTTTATGGAAGCATTACTGTTATGAAAACACACTTTCTGGTAATTTTTTCACTTTTTTAAAATGAGTGGAAGGTGTTGAAATAAACTACCCCTATCATTCTTGTTAACGAAATTTAAAGAAAAATCTTATCAAACACATGCAAAAAAATTAATTTGGATAGTTTAGTTTGTTTAGAAACTTTTTTATCTCTTGTATTATTTTTTTGATAAAACTCACCGATTTGAAATTAAAAAATAAAATGTAACGCATTACATGTCAGGACAAAAAACATTTTTTGATAAAGAATCTAGCGGGCTGCTGTAATTTTTTAGTAAAAAATCTAGTCGGCCGCTGTTACTTTTTTTATTTAACATTACTCTACTGCGATACGATATTATCTAGATGATTATTATTATCGTTATTATCACTAGATTCTTAATCTAAAAATGTTCTTTGTCCTGACATGTAATGCTTTACATTTTATTTTTTAATTTCAAATCGGTGAGTTTTATCAAAAGAACACAAGAGATAAAAAAGTTTCTAAACAAACTAAACTATCCAAATTAATTTTTTTGCATGTGTTTGATAAGATTTTTCTTTAAATTTCGTTAACAAGAATGATAGGGGTAGTTTATTTCAACCCCTTCCACTCGTTTTAAAAAAGTGAAAAAATTACCAGAAAGTGTGTTTTCATAACAGTAATGCTTAATGTAAATTTTATTAGTCTATCTCTTTTCGTTTTCAAGATAAAAAATAAAAACTTTATTTTTCCGCCATCTTTGTACCGCGATATCTCCCTAATGGTTGACTTTTGACCCAACGTTTATGAAGCAAACTACCCTTTATTTTGAACAAGGAATCACCCCCTGAAGTTTTTCGCATTTGTTTTGAAACACCCTGTATTCTACTGAAATGAAGATAATATATTTAAGCTAAATATAATCTATTACAGCTGTAGTAAATTGAGTAACTAATTGTGAAAAATAAAGTTCCAACCCTAGATTCAACATTTTTCATAAACGCCTATTTGTGCGGTTTGAAATTTTGATGCAAAATCCGGCAATACCGCATAGAAGAAATGTATCAATCCAACTTATATCTCTTTTTAATACATTTGAATTTCCTTTAAGCTGTCTACATCACTGTCTTACTTACTGATCGCTATATGATCTAGGATTGAAATAGATATCATGTATAGCGAACTTTTTGATATACATTATATTATTAAAGATACTGCGATTCGCAGGTATACGCCTTCCGCAATGGTTTGCACGGACCCCATTCTCAAATCGAGACGGTCACTCGGGGAAGTCCCCTGCCCATCATCCAAATAACCGATTCAAGAACCGTCAAAGACGTTGGGACCACTGTGAAACTGTCATGGCAACGGCCCGAAAAGTATGGAAAGGTCGCCTGGACCTACGGAGTCTATTACGGAATTAACCAAGAAAATCTCTTCAAAGGTTTGTATCAGTTCCGAATTATACTGTGTAATCGCCGAACTGAACATAGGAAATCTCTGCAACTTTTAAAAACAATGATGAAAGTTCACCATTTTATTTTAGAGCAAAACTTCTTAGTTTTAGAGAACTCCTTAAAATAAATCGAATTATTCGTTTTAAAAAAAACTATTACGCTGTACTGTTCGGGTTGCTCTCGGGGGTCGGGTAAAGCGGGTGTGTGGCCGAAGGAAATATATTTCAGAAATCTGCCTAAGGCTTAGCCCGATGCTGATTAAGGTTTGCAGAGCTTCAGCATTTGCCATAAAATAGCGAGCAATTTGTTACAAAACTATATAAATTATCTATCACTGTAATCACAAAACTCCAATCTATATCCGTATTGTAACGGAATTTTAAATTGTGTCTTCATTTTCGAGAAAATTTAGTCCAAACATAAGGAATATTTTATTGATGTTTGACCATCAAAGTCTCAAAAATAAAGAAGTTGTCTAAAAATGTGCTTCAATACGAATATAGTATAATCCTTTATCTTTAATTTCCTTCTTCATTTGTGTAAAAATACCTAGCCAATTTTACATAAAACGTTAAATGCCTAACGCCTATTTTGCTCCTTTTTCGGGCTAGTGAAATGGACTCTGACTGAATTAATCTTTTTATTCCAAGATTAATTCAGTATTTTTTATCGCCCATTACTGCAAATGGAATTCGTAAAGGCTATTGAAATGAACAATTTACTTCATTTTAATAAGCTTCAAATACATTTTCCTATGTTCAGGTCGGGCGATGCAACAGACAGGAGTATAATCTTTTTTATTATATTTTATATATATTTTTTTCAGCTGTCCGTTATAGGACTCCGAACCTGACGGCGACCATTCCAAATTTGGACGCTTGCGAGACCTACATGTTCTCAGTGGGCGTGGTCGCTCCCTATGGCTACGGCCCGCTGTCAGGCAACCTAGAATTCGTAACGACCTCCTTCAATCCTAAAGCGCCCCCTAAGGATCTGCAAGTGACACCCGAAGAACAGGACCCGTTGAGGATGTTCATCAGTTGGAAACCTAGCTGTAGCATGGCCAATAACAGTTCATACACGGTGAGTTTCGAGTGAAGCTACATTAAATGTCAATTCCTGTGAAGGGTGTCCCTTGAAGTCACATATTTTGACAGTTAATCTAACTGCTACACTGAAAAAAGTTTACGATTTTATTGAGAGAAAATTTTTAAATACAGTGAGAAATATTTCATTATGTAGCTGTCTTTTTTTCTTGTGGAGTTTTATTTTTTATTAAATTTTAGTAAATGTAAATTCCAAAAAAATATCTGCTTTTTTAACATATTGTATATTATTTCAATTATTTAGTCATATATTTTGTAGTGGTCAAATCAATTGAAGGGGGTCCAGGGGAAAAATATGAATATCAAGATTTTCCCCTGGACCTTTCAATTGCGATACTCTTTATCATCTAGGATTTTAGTTAAGTAATTCTGTGACTACTTTGTTAATATAACAATTCTTTTTTCCAGTTATCCGTCACCGAATCAACCACCAAACGCGTGTGGAATATCAAGGTAGACAAACGGCTCAACCACAGCCTCGTTGTGGAAAATGGTGGCGTGTACAACATCCGCGTCTCTACCGCCGTCACCGGCGCCCTCTATTCTAAGGTTGTCACTTATTCCGCCCCGCCCATCCCTCCGCCCGTCGCCTTCAGCGTCACTCCCCACGCCAACGGCAGCTACGTCCTCCACTGGGACGAGCGCAACGTCCAAATCTACGGCCAGTACAAATTCGAGGTTATAGTCAACGCCGGCTCTGATCTAAACGAGAAAATAGCCAATACGTTCGTAATAGATCACCCTCCTTTCGTCTACACGAATAACTCGGCTAAAGAATTCACTTTTGCCGTTAGAATCAAGACCGACAAAGGTTATAACTCGCTCGTGTCCGAGTCTATTAATAAACTGACTCAGAGAGTGGAGGAACCCGAATCCGGAGGTAACGTAACGGCTATAGTAGTGCCTAGTTTGTTGGTAATACTGGCTTTGGTCGGTGTGATCACGTTCCTGGTAGTGAGGAACAGGCGATTGCAGAATAGTTTCGTTAGGTTCGCGAATTCGCACTACAGTTCGCGATCGGGAGCGGCTACATTCGAAGACACGGGCTTGGAGGAAGAGGACACGCCCACCATCGGCCGGTTCTCGGACGACGAACCGCTGGTGGTTGCATAACGGCTGACGATAGTGAGAGAAGAGACAGACTTTTCGAAGGATTCGGTAATGTAGGATCTATATATCGTCCGTGAGTAATTATATGTGTAAGCAGATCGACTATTCTATTACCTATTTCTATATAATATTATAAATGATTGTTGAAACGTTTCCAAGTTTATACATTGCATACATACCCTATTGACGTGTTTGTAATCTTTAATATTATTATTATTGTTAGAGTAGTGTGTACTAAGTGGTTATATGTAAACATATATGTGAAACAAAGCCATATATCCGGATTTTTAAAAAGGATTCTTTTATGTTTAGTATTTTCTTCTGTATCATTTTAGTAATTCTAGTTTTTGACTTCTTTGGCTATGTTCTTACATTTTTTACGACAGTTTTATTTCTTGTTTTCTACAATAAAATTAATAAACATTGCTCAAGAAAAAACAGTAAACAAACCAAAGTTAGTGTCAGCATCGATTTTAGCGGCTCTAGAGTGATTCCGTAGCGTAAAAGTTGCTAAAACTAAACAACAGCTATAGAACCGCTAAACTTTAGCACAGTTCTAAAGACAAAACATAGACTCATCTAAAACCGGTGAATTTTAACTACAGAACTAATACAGCTAAATTTTAGTGACTTTTTACTTTTTAGTACAAAAAAACGGTAAAAAATAGCGGTTCTAAGACCAAAAAATTTGCTAAAAATTGGTAGTTCTACTGAACTAAAATTATTAAATTTTAAAGATTCACCCGTAGAACACTATAATTTAGCAGATGTATAAACCAAAAAATCATTAAATATAGGCGGTTCTATTTCACTAATATCTCTAAAACTTTAGCGATTCTAAAAAAAATTAGCAGCTCTACTAAATTTTAGCAGTTCTAATAAACAGTAACCTACTAAAATCGCTAAAGATTAGGCTGTCTTAAAAATTGTTGAAACTTTTAACCATTGTAATAGTATAAAAACAAGTTTTAGACCACTCTAGAATTGCTAAAACTGGTGATAACTTAAGTTTGCTAAAAATGTTAGTCTTAAAAACCAAATTCCTCTGTACGAACCCGAGTCTAATACATTATAATTTTCCTTGGTTGGCACTAGTGCCTATCCAATTCGACGCAATAGTGTACAGGTATCTTTTAGGGGTATTATATAATTTTAGGTCAAATTTCTGTGATATCTTCTCATTTAAGTTTTTTTAGGGTTTCAGCATAAACGGAATTTGACTGTGAACTAAGTTTTATTTTTATGTATTAATCGTACCTTGACTACTATGTGTGTAAGAAAATAAAATATTACCTTATAATTGAAAGTAGTGTTTTATTTAATAACAAAATATTTTTTGCTAGATGTATACAGGGTGTTTCAAAACAAATGCGAAAAACTTCAGGGGGTGATTCCTTGTTCAAAATAAAGGGTAGTTTGCTTTATAAACGTTGGGCCAAAAGTCAACCATTAGGGAGATATCGCGGTACAAAGATGGCGGAAAAATAATGTTTTTATTTTTTATCTTGAAAACGAAAAGAGATAGACTAATGAAATTTTACGGAAGTATTACTGTTATGAAAACACACTTTCTGGTAATTTTTCACTTTTTTAAAATAAGTGGAAGGGGTTGAAATAAACTACCCTATCATTCTTGTTAATGAAATTTAAAGAAAAATCTTATCAAACACATGCAAAAAAAATAATTTTGATAGTTTAGTTTATTTAGAAACTTTTTTATCCCTTGTGTTTTTTTGATAAAACTCACCGATTTGAAATCAAAAAATAAAATGTAAAGCATTACATGTCAGGACAAAAAACATTTTTAGATAAAGAATCTAGTGGGCAGCTGTAATTTTTTTAGGAAAAATTCTAGTCGGCCGCTGTCACTTTTTAGGATGTTTCTAATATTGTTTTATTTGACATTACCCTACTGCAATACGTTATTATCTAGAATATTATTATTATCATTATTATCACTAGATTCTTAATCTAAAAATATTTCTAGTCTTGACATGTAATGCTTTACATTTTATTTTTTAATTTCAAATCGGTGAGTTTTATAAAAAAAATACAAGAGATAAAAAAGTTACTAAACAAACTAAACTATCCAAATTAATTTTTTTGCATGTGTTTGATAAGATTTTTCTTTAAATTTCGTTAACAAGAATGATAGGGGTAGTTTATTTCAACCCCTTCCACTCATTTTAAAAAGTAAAAAATTACCAGAAAGTGTGTTTTCATAACAGTAATGCTTCCATAAAATTTCATTAGTCTATCTCTTTTCGTTTTCAAGATAAAAAATAAGAACATTATTTTTCCGCCATCTTTGTACCGCGATATCTCCCTAATGGTTGACTTTTGACCCAACGTTTATGAAGCAAACTACCCTTTATCTTGAACAAGGAATCACCCCCTGAAGTTTTTCGCATTTGTTTTGAAACACCCTGTATATGTCGTAGTCTCATAGTGTATTCCGTCTTTTCATGGAGAGCCTAGTCACTTAATGAAAAAAACTAACCTAATAACATAACTAAACTGCTAACCTAACCGACGCTTCATGAAGTGACCTAGGATCTTCATGAAAAGACAGAATACACTATGTGATTATGATATATACATCTGGTATGACATTCTTTCTGGAGTTATGAAAAAAAAACATATTTATTACTGAGTTATATTCATGTTTACTCACAAGTCATTTCAAGGACAGTGCACAATGAACCTTAAATAACAGAAAGGGGGTAGAAGAAGGCACTTTTAAATATATATTTTGATAAAATTACTACAGATTTGATCCTAACATACGCGTTGCATTCCTTTCGAAATTTGATAATAGAAAATAAGAGAATTACAATAAAAACAAATAACAATATTCATATCTATATACAAAATTTAAATAACAGCACATAAATTATATATTTACAAAGATAATAACAAAAATATATTATGAAATAATTAATAATACAATTATTTTATATCGCATTCATACACATGGTCAGCTTTTTATAAGACAAATAGATGTAGGTAAAACAATAAGTACCTTGTGTTTAGTTGATGGCGTTACTGAGGGCAGTCGACGTTATTGTCAATTAATGGCATCTATCAATGTCTGATGCAAAATCCGGCAATACCGCATAAAAGAAATGTATCAACCTAACTTTTATCTCTTTTTAATACATTTGATTTTCCAATTACGCTGTCTACATTACTGTCTTACGCGTTAAAATCCAGACCACGCAGTTTCGATGACCAGATCGGTATACCCTGCTGGTCATCAATTTGTGGTCTGGGTTTTAATCAGTTTGACAGAGAATAATATAAATGACCGGTTGATAGACAGAGAGACAAAATCAAAAGCGGCATACAGTGTTGCCGGGTTTTTACGTTTGTAGGAAAATGTGTGTAGAAAAATATAAGCTACTTTAAAAACTTTCATGTATACTACTGAAATGTAACTAAATATAATCTATTACAGCTGTAGTAAAATAAGTAACTAATAGTGAAAAATAAAGTTCCAACCCTATTTGCAATATTTTTCATAAACGTCTACTTGTGCAGTTTGAAATTTTGATGCAAAATCCGGCAATACCGTATAGAAGAAATGTGCCGACCCAATTTTTGTCTCTTTTTAATACACTCAGATGCAAAAAAAACGCAACGGAGAAATTTTTGGTCAAATTTAAAGTGTTGTATTTTTGTTATTTTTAGCCCTATTTTTATGAATTTTTTAGCAATCTGTGTATAATTTTATCAACTTTAGTTTTTAATCTAAGTTTTTTATAAACTTTAGTATTTGGCATATTATACAGGGATATTCGAGGGGTTGTTTTTTTACTTTCACTTTAAAACACCCTGTGCAATAATTTCGTTTGTAAATTTTCCTAAAATATAATTTTATGGTCAGAACCATGACACCTATGCATTTAGTTTTTTGGATCATGTCAATATATGCCTTGGTTAATTTTTAAGAGCGAAATGAACTGATCACGATCAATTTGCTATTTTTTCAATTATCATTACTTTTTGATGTAATTTTTTAACATGACGAGATGGTTTTGGTTACTATTGTCATAATGTCATATTACGCTGCATTGGATACTTTATACTAAATAAAAAAAAAGTTAAAGACTAACGTTACAGTCCTGGTTTTAATAAACAATAATAACGATAACAGAACTAACGATATTAAAGAAAGCATCTGTCTTAAGTATACAAACAGAAAAAAAAATTGTAAAAAATATCATTGCATTGCTTCCCTTGGCTGCTATAACTGCTTGTATACGTCCGTTCATACTGTCATTGAGGCTGCATACATCATATTGCGTTATGCTTTCTCATTCTTCTTTAAGAACCAAGCGAAGTTCATTTAATGAAGCTGGAACCGCTTCGCGACCTCTAACCCTTCTGCCGAGCGTGTCTCAAACGTCGAACATGATGGGCAGTTCATAGAAGTATATAGTTCACAATAATCACCAAAGCCGGCTTGTCATATTGAAAAATAACTTAAAAAAATGACAATTGAAAAAATTGCAAATTGTTGGTGTCAAGTTCATTTCGCTCTTAAAAATTAACCAAGGCATATATTGACATGATCTAAAATTATATTTTAAGAAAATTTACACACGAATTTATTGCACAGGGTGTTTTAAAGTTAAGGAAAAAAAACAAGTCCTCGATTAACCCTGTATAATATGGCAAATACTAAAGTTTATAAATTAAAGTTGATATAATATGTACAGGTTGATAAGAAATTCATGAAAATAGAGCTAAAAATAACAAAAATATAACACTTATTTGACCAAAAATTTCTCTGTTGCGTTTTTTTTCCATCTGAGTGTACATTTGAATTTCCATTAAGCTGTCTATATCACTGTCTTACACGTTAAAATCCAGACCGCATAGTTTTGATAACCAAATCGGTATATGAATACCATGATGATCTTTACATTTTTTATTAAGGGGTCCTCAGCTCACATTGATATTATGCTGTGCTATTTTTACTTAATGCTAGATGGCACTATTACTTCATAAAATTAAAGCCTCTAGATAGAGTACAGCAATTTTATTAGTTTGTCTAATACTCTGGAGTCATTTAGACATTTTGTGGCAGAAATATAATACAAGAAATTGGTTATTTTTTCAATAAATTGAATACATTTTTGTGTTTATTATGTAATTTGTGACTCATAAGCATTGTTTAAAATGTGTTTTTTGTCGATGTTTTTAAAAATAAATTCTTATTTTAAATTTCCCGCCTCTACTTTGTTACCATTGTTCTCCTAACTAACACTCTGGTACTTATTGATTTACCCTTATAGGCCTTGACAAAAATTGATTTTACTTCTGAGATATAATAATTCTTATAATTTACTAATATTATAAAAAGCGATTTTTTATCTACAATCTATAAGTGTTGGTAGCATGCCTTACGTAACATTTATGTATTAGTATTTCTTTTATTTAAGTTTGGACCCGAAAACGTTTACATATTTACCTTTCCCTACACGAAAAAAAAAATGAAATATCACAACAACCAATAACTATTTTTTGTAAAAATTCCATCTTATCTAGCTACCGTTTAAATTCTTGTATAATTTATTTAAAATATTAGGAACAAGCTGGTATTACATTAAACTGTTAAAGCTACCGCAAAGTTTTAATATCATAAGTTATATTGTACAATTTAGACAAATTAATGTCTTTTTTATATAGTATGTACCCTATATTTCTGAGACACACTGTAAGGGCTCGAACACACTGACGACCAGGTCGCACCGGCCAGGCCGCTGCTACCTCTAAGACCATTAAATCAAATGATACCGCGCACAATAACGTCCTGGCCGTCCGTTGGTCGTTGCGACCAGTAGACGACTGTACTAAAATATTATAATTTTCTGCCGCTTGTTGCCGGTTTTCTTCCAAATTAATAATTTTTCAGATGAAATCCCTCAAAATCAACGCACAATATTTTATTTTCTATAAGATAATATATAGTGTTTTAGTGTAGTTTTTGCACACGTGCAGAAAATCCAAAGAAATAGTATACAAACTGGATCAAAGGGAAACTTAAGTCTAGTCCCTTTTTTTTTACCAAGGGTCGATTCTAATAAAAATTCAAAACATTTTATACCGCTAAAATTCGGTATAAATTCGGTAATATTCGGTTCGAGTTTCGATGTTAAAAAATAAAAAAAATCATTTTTAAAGTTGTTCTTCAACGACTTGTTTTTTTTATTAATTTTTTTTTTAGTTGTATTGTAGTCATGTACAAGGAGGACAACTGTATTTTAAATATTATATTTAATTTAACGTTTTTCAAACAGG